TCGACAAGCTCAGGAATAAGTATGAGATGCTGCAGAACGAGGCCAATGACCTGCGTTCTGAAAATGACCATCTTCATCGACAGATCGAATCCCTCTGAAAGGCCAACGATGAACTCAACAAGGACGTCTTTAGAGTCGCACGCACAGCAAGGGGACACCCTGCATCTCCCAAACCCACCCCAATTCAATCTTCTGCTCCCTCATCATCACGGCCCACTGTCCCCCAAACCATCGTTATCCCCAGGGTTGGCCCGGTGGATCCTGCATTGGCCAAGTCTGCACCATCGAAAAAAACCACCTCTTCCAAGAGATGGGCTCCCACATCCAACGATGACGAGATGGAAGGCGAATGGGTCATTGACCCTGATGCCCCCTTCAAAGAATTTGTCATGAACCATCCACCCGGTTACCACTACTACGAGTACTACGATGCCAAACTCACTGAAGTGCATGGTGAACCCCTACCCCCACCGACATATTGTCGATCAGTGGCCCTTCCTACCCACTTCTACGACATTGACCATGTCAATAGAATTGAATTCCCAGATGCGACTGCGCTCCTCCGCGACAAAGAACCTAAGTGGTTCGAGTTGGTTCAAAACTACATACTGTCATATCCATACAATCCCGACCTCCACTCCGGGCTCCCGGAACTCCGAACTCCGACTTCCGGAGCCCTACTTCCCTTCCATCACCTTCTCCTTGCCGACTCCCAAGAGGTTATCCCACCTCCGGCTCCAACACCACCTTCGGTCCGACTCCGGAACATTCCGGGTCCGACCCCAACCTCGACACCTTCCAGACGAGTATGCAAAACCTATGCTCCCGACTCCGGACCTCCGCTCCGGAATCCCGTTCACGTCTCGTCTCCGGAACCTCCGGTCTTAGCTCCGACCTCGGACTTTGACCCCACCTCCGCTTATACCCATTGTATTGGTTAGCTCATTCCATTTAATTACCTTTGCCAATATTCCGGAGTTTAACCTCCGAGTTCGGACTTTCCGGACTTACTCCGGACCTTGCAACTATTGCATTGTCCATTTCAATTCCGCTATTCTCCCTCATTCCTATTTGGGCTGCTGCTTCCTTCTATTCAGTCAGCTAGCCATTCCTGACTCCCATCCTCCTTCCTTCCTCCTTGGGCCTTGGCCCTTCATTCCTCCTTTGGGAAAACACCATTGAGTCAAACACTTGACCCTCGGTGTTGTTCCTCTTTCCATCTCCCTTTGTCTCCTTTCGTCCTACCCTTGTTCCTTTTGATTCCGGACCCCTCCTTATATACAATGTACCTAGTAACTTGTAACCTCAGTCCGAAATCGACATGAATTCCCCCAAGAGACTTTCCCTCTGCTAGATCCGAAATTAGGGACCCCCAGGACAACCAGCAATGGCACAGTGCTCCGCCTGAGTCGCTGAGGCCGAGGTCCTTCCATGCTAAGTCTCCGATTCCGCTCCGGAGTCGTCCGAATCCCCGCGTTCTAACACATACACACCGAAGAAGGTGTGAGATTCTACGCTACAATGTACCATCTTGCCTGGTCGTTCAAGATGGGCAAGCCCTTGCAAGAGGACGTCGACACCTGTACCGACTGGTACAGGGTGGCTGCAAACAACCACACCTCATGAATGCGTATGTCACGTGACGACATTGAGACAGAGGCAAAAAGACTTCCTGACCAGTACCCCTCGCATTGCATGGATGTACATCCTCGCATGTCGATGGATAAAACCAATGACCAACGATGCTCATGAGCATCATAAGATTCAACATCAGGAACGAGCACTTATGTACTCAAACCCTCCCCCAACATCGTACTCAAACCCACCTATGATGTACGCAAGCCCACACCCTGTGGCGTACTCAAACGTCCCACCTCCGCCACAGTACCCCCCTCCAACATATGCACACTCGTCAGTGTATGAATCCACCCACGCACCACCAGTGTGTGGGCATGCTCCCTCCACTTCCCATGGACACGGCCATCCTGTGCACCATGCTCATTACTCGCACCATCATCAAGACGAGGATTCATCCATGAACGACGCTGATGTCGAGACTCGTCACTATGACGACAACTATCTCAGCGACGATGTTGCTGTCGATGCAGCTAGGTCCACAACGACTTGTAGGACTACGTCGAATCACCCATCCGGCTCTGGCCTGTCCGGGTCTGCACCACGTAAACGGATGAGGAACTGACCCTCATATCCCTACCTTCGTCAACGACAATGCTGTCGTTGATTATCTATTTTGTACCTTTCCTCTTTCGTCAATGACAACGTCATTGATTATTCATTTTCCTCTTTGTCAATGACAACTCTGCTGTCGACGACCTCCAGTGTCAACATCGTCACGGTGGACGATGGTATTTAATAAACTCACAACGATGAGAAAGTCGTTTCATCGTTGACAACTCTGTCGTCGAGATCTGGGTGCATATGTTCCAGGAGAAACTCTAAGTGGGCCTCGCCTACAAACTACTATTATAGCCTCCTGCAATGAGTGTGCCCCTGTTTGCATACATCTTTCATATGTAGAACATTAAAATTTTATTTCTTTAAAATGCTTGCTTTCCCCTTGTGTATATATGCTTGTACCCTGTCTGCGATTTAATATTGCAAGGGAGGAGGATGTGAGGCCCCAGCCCATGTCTATATTCCGCCCACAACATCAGTTGATGTTGTGTTGTCTAATAATTATGTCACAACACTAATTTAGCGTTGCGGAAGCTTCTCTATTTATTTGTGCCGAGAATGCATTAGATTGTATATAAACCCTTGGTGTTAGAACACGGGGATTCGGACGACTCCAGAGCGGAATTGGAGACTTAGCATGGAAGGACCTTGGCCTCAGCGACTCAGGTGGAGCGCTGTGCCATTGCTGGTTGTCCTGGGGGTCCCTAATTTCGGATCTAGCAGAGGGAAAGTCTCTTGGGGGAATTCATGTCGATTTCGGACTGAGGTTACAAGTTACTAGGTACATTGTATATAAGGAGGGGTCCGGAATCAAAAGGAACAAGGGTAGGACGAAAGGAGACAAAGGGAGCTGGAAAGAGGAACAACACCGAGGGTCAAGTGTTTGACTCAATGGTGTTTTCCCAAAGGAGGAATGAAGGGCCAAGGCCCAAGGAGGAAGGAAGGAGGTTGGGAGTGGGGAATGGCTAGCTGACTGAATAGAAAGGAAGCAGCAGCCCAAATAGGAATGAGGGAGAATAGCGGAATTGAAATGGACAATGCAATACTTGCAAGGTCCGGAGTAAGTCCGGAAAGTCCGAACTCGGAGGTTAAACTCCGGAATATTGGCAAAGGTAATTAAATGGAATGAGCTAACCAATACAATGGGTATAAGCGGAGGTGGGGTCAAAGTCCGAGGTCGGAGCTAAGACCGGAGGTTCCGGAGACGGAGACGCCAACGGGATTCCGGAGCGGAGGTCCGGAGTCGGGGACATAGGTGTTGCGTACTCGTCTGGAAGGTGTCGAGGTTGGGGTCGGACCCGGAATGTTCCGGAGTCGGACCGAAGGTGGTGTTCGAGCCGGAGGTGGGATAACCTCTTGGGAGTCGGCAAGGAGAAAGTGATGGAAGGGAAGTAGGGCTCCGGAAGTCGGAGTTCGGAGTTCCAGGAGCCCGGAGCGGAGGTCGGGATTGTATGGATATGACACTTGGGGTAGCTGTAAAAGGCGGATCAGCCTTTACTTCTACCCTGTTAATATACAGCCCATCAAAGCATATACTTAGACAGACCAACTGAGGCCTGAGGCGAATGGGGGAACAGAACGTTACTGTCCCCAAAATAGTAAGATAACCTTTCAAACACCTGGCTGCCTGGGACACTGCAAGTGTCCAGCTCTGAGGTAGGGCTGCCCCCGGACAGAGGCCGGGCCCTGACATCTCACCTCAGACTAATATAAGAGATCTGAGGGATAAAAGTCTAAGAATTCCTCCCTTATATATGCAACATTCCTGTCATCATACAAAGGGAGTTTTAAGTTGAATAAGAAGGGAAAAATGCCCCCAACACCTCAAAGTGCCCCAGCATGACCGCAATGAATAACCACCACACAACTTCCCAATGTAAACAAAGTTGATATTCTAATACTAATGTGGCACCAGGAAGCTGTACAACTAGTGTAGTTTTGTAGCTCCCTGGTTTCAGAATTTTAAAATTCTTTGTTATTGCCAAATAAATCCCAAAATACTTTATGATGTTGGAATCAACATCTCTTTTAACACTGACCACAATCCAATTTTTTTAAAAATTGGTTTCAAGTTTGACTCGCATGGATAGAGTAAAATTGAATTACGGCTCTTGCCGAGTACAGAAAAGGAAACCATTCATATTATACCCTTTCCCTCCCAAGTGCCAGTACACAGAAAGTGCTGCATAATAACCTCGGAGACTACTCCAAGAAGGTATAGTGCTACCCAGCCAAGGGGGTGTCCATTCATTTTCGACTATTAAAGCATGTAAATATAAAAGTACAAATTTTGTTGGAAAACAGCATACCAGCATGGCCGGGTGAGTTTTGCCACAGCCACGCTCCCATGGCTAGATGAGTAACTCACCCTTGCTACTCTATTTTTTTTTCGGACTTATCCGCTCCCGGCTATATGGGAGATTCCATTCCTTCAATTGCCTTTTTCCCTCAGTTCCCTTTGGCATAATAACTTGAGAATGAGTTGCCTGCTTTTGCTAGCACACTCAAATCTCTTTCATCATAAGTAAGTATCACTGACCAGAAATATTGACCGCTCGTGACCTCGCACTCCCACACTCGGCAAATCCCGGCATAGTACCGAGGTATGGAAGTCGTCTATCTTATTCGCAGTGGGTTTGGCCTTTCAATCCTCTGATACGAATTGTCCGAAGTGGAGTGTTACATAAGGGCGCATTGACTTGGTCCCTTCGTTGCACACGTTAATCCGCGTCTTCGCTCATGGGATGAATCCTCCAGTTGCATGGTACTTGTGTACCTACTGTTAAAGTGACATTCCGATGCCGGCCACGGGAGTGACTCTGCAGTGCAGCATAATTAGCATTACATGCTTCAAGTGTTACAAAGGTCAATATCAACAGGGTGGAAAAGATAAAAGTCCCATGAATTGAGCAGATAAAAGTGGCCCTGTTCATTCAGTGTGAACTGCGCATTGTCTCCCACATATCCTCCAGATCAATTTCCAGCGCAAATTGAGATACCGCTGTCATCAAGGGCTTAGTGGGCATTTTTTTCCTAAACGCTTTCCGGTCCTCATCCTTTGGGATGACAAATACAAGCTTCCATTGCCACACCCCCCAGTGTTCATTCTTCAGCGCGTCCCAAAGCTGTTTGAGGAATCCCATCTTGACTGAATGCCGGGTAGAGATCGTATACTGAAACAGGACAACACTGGTGATGGTGTGATTCTCATCCCTTTCGAAAGCAAACGAGTCGATGCCAGTGAGGTTGCCAGAAACCGGTCGGTAGTACTTGGTTGCATCCGGATGATGGACCTTATCAAATGGAAAACGGGAGAATACCTCCACCCTGGGGTCGATGTGTTCCAAATGCAGTTGCTGTTCACTGCCATCTTCGAGTGCTCGTATGCAAAGGGTACCTCTAGCGCGTTTGACAACATAGACATGCCCAACGGCTTCGAACATCAGACCAGCCGTGGAGGCTGTAGAGGGCTCCTTCATACAATTGTAGAAGTATTGGGCTGAAGCATTGACCAATTCCAATCCCTTCTTCTCCATGAGCTTGGTGAAGATATATTGGGAAATGATCTGCGTGCATGAGCTCGATCGGTCCAAACCTTCTGCATCTCGGAGGGGATTGATTTCTACCAGACGGTGGCTGTATTCCTCGGGTAGATGTGTCACCACTTGTTGGAAAAGGTCAGTTGGGGTGCAGTCTTTGATGGCTGAGTCAAGGGCGCGATCTACCTCCCGTTGCGTACGATCCAGTAGATACCTTGCCGAACCCCCATACCTCATGAACGCAATACACCAATCATTGTCTTCAGTCCTCTGCTCCATGGCATAATTGCTGGGAGGGATCAGTACTCCTAGGCCTCCTTATTTATGTAACTGACAACTCACCGAGAAACATAGACTTCTTGCCAACTCCATGTTTTCATGTAAAACTTCTTCACATGATTTTCCTTTACCCATTTATCCACTTTTCGTGGCTCGGGCGACGATGCTACCAAGGTTCTCCATCGCGACACCAGAGTGTTGACACCCTCACCCAAACTGAGATCGAAGAGACTAAGGCCATAATCGCCGCTTCCAGCTGCGGAGACCTCGGGATTATCCCAATCATCGAAGGAATTGGATGGAATATGGTAAACGCCAGAGCTGAGAAACGCGAAACGCATTGAACGCGACTTGGAAAGCACGGTGGGCTTTCCTTCTGCGAGCCGGTTGACGAGACAGTATGTCAAGTAGACAGTGAGGCTCGGCAACGTATGTTACAAACCTTCACCCCCACGTGACCTATTTTTCGCCAGAATTATGGCGAGTGGCTTGAGGTTTCAACACACAACTCAAACTCCATCCGATCTCTTTATCATTTCCATTAGTAAATAGATATGGTCCCTGGACATCTAGGAAGCTGATTATTTTGTAAGTTACTTCATGGATTTGCATCAATCGGCCATTATCATTGGGCCTTTGCCATATCCCCACTGTTCCCCGCGTTCATTTGCTAGTACTAGTTCCCTAACCTTGTCGCCATTTCTTGGTGTATGGCTGCTGAGAGAATCCAGAGGATCCTGGAGCCTATATTACACTCAACTGCGGCTCCAGTTGTGCAATGGTGGTCTTTGGGTTCCTTGCCCATCCCGCATCATCTGTCAACTGAACGGCCTTAAATTCCTCAATCCATGCTATAATAATATCAACACTCTTTCCAACCCCCTGTGTGGGTTGTGAATGCATTCCGGGCAGGAAGAGCGCACACTTGATGACTTCGGCAACTTCCGCCTCCATTTAATCTCCCAAATCTTTGAAGCAAAAATTCTCTTTCATCTAATAGTCTCAAGCCCCTGCGCCTGAATTAAAAGTTTATTCTGTCACCCTTACCTAGGTATTGTTGGGTGTCGATTTTCAAATTAACTCCATCTTTTGTGTTTTTTCAACTGATTCTCACCCATATCTCGACAATGAAGCACATTTGAGAAAAAGCAAACCTAGGGTGCACTAATATAGGTCACTACAAACAACATCCTATGTTTATTTGCATACTATCTTCATTGTGTGCAGAGGAAACCGTCCCGCCATTTTTGGGATAGCCAGCACAGCCACAAAACTGTGGGCGGTCACAACCTTGGTTGCCGACCCTCATAGACAGTCTTGCCTTTAGGAGCGTGACCAGTTACATTGTGCAACGACAATCCAGCACGGACTCACGCACCTATTCCAGGTTGTCCAATAAGTAAAATTGGCGTGCGGCGACTGCGCCTAGCGACGTCTGATTGTCTCTGCTCCTCCACGAATGCATCGAGTTCACGGTATTCATCCCGCACATAAAACGACACGTCGAGCACTTCTTTTATCACGGACGACACATTCGGGATCTGCATTAGGTCGTAAAACGATGCTTGAATGTTCGCCGCAGCATCATCCATTGCGACGTCCTCTTCTTGAGGTTGGGATGCCTCATCCTTCGTCGGAGTATCATCCATTGTGAGGTCCTCTGTCTCAGATTCTTGAAGTTCGTAACTGACAGCAAGGCCGGGCACCTGGATTGAGGATTTAGTAATGATTTGACCCAAATGAGCCCCGTTTTTCCAGAGATAGTTGTACATGATAACCAAGTTGCCATATTCTAGATCGTGTTCAGTGAGGGCTGTTTGTTGGGTATCGGCGGAGCACACGGGGAAGTCAACAATGTGTAAACTCAATAAGGGGCCAGGAGTATATGCACTGCGTACCTGTATTGGCGGTTGGTTTGGGGAGGGCTAAAGAATAGTTAGCCTGGCGTGCCAATAGCTGAGCTGAACTAACGAAGCGATACAATGTATTTTGACCACCACATGGACCAGGACGTTACCCGAGTCTTGTCCAAAAACGGCGTTTACTTCACTATCACCCTCAAGAGGATCCTTTGTGGCTATGCTAACTGTTGCTCTATCAATAAGCTCTCCATCACCGCTCCTCGTCAAATTATCAGGCTTCTTTGGATGAGCACAGCATTCTCCAGACAGAAGAGCCTACCTACTTACCTTGTACAAGACGAGCTCGCTGTAATCGTAATGTTCGCGCAGTAGCTTGTGCTTCTCATAAATTTTATCACGGAGTTGATCGACAATTTCACCACCTTCGAGATCTAGAACGAAAGGACCTAAGGTGACGTTGGGACAGATGACGAAGTATGATAGACGCTTCAGAGGCTCCGGGGTGGTTGACGAAGTCGGTAGAGCGCGACGACGTTTCAGAAATCGCGACATGGTTGACGTGAGTAAACCTACTAGGAGGTGATCATGTGCCAGAAAAAAAGGTTGGAGAATGAGAAATTACCAGCTAGGAGCAGCCAAAATTTCTTGAATTGAGGCGGTATTCTAAGTTAAATTCTGGAATCAGGCTTGACGTTTGCGCGGTTTTGATCAAAATAATACAGATCGCACGCCCTAATTCGACTTGTTTATATCGAAGACCCCCGCTCTCACAGTTAACATGTCTGACATACTCCCAACATCAAACGCGCGTCAAACGCTTTCCCCTTCAGCGCTAGGCGCCCCATTTGGCTATATTGCAAAATACCGAATCCATTGGTGCCTAATTTCACAATCCCCCGTTGATGTTTCCCTGATTCCAACCAAACAGCTGTCATAACCTCGATGGACCTCACCGTGTCTCGGTGACAGATGAGATTACGCAGAGAGCCATGTGGGAAAGTGTATGTCAATTGAAGGTTGAACCGATATGGCTTTTGCGTCTGAACCCGTGGATCCTAAGGAACCTGAGCTGATAGGGAAGGAAATCATCACTTCTGTGAAGGTGATCACTTTGGTGCAATCGCGTGTTCGAATATTAACGCCATGTATTCCCATAGGATAACCCTTCTCAGCGCGTCAAGTGGACTATTCATCGACCCGTGTCGGGCTGGTGCGTTTCTTCTCTGACTGAGTGGTTGCTGGCAACAATCCGCCTGGCATGATTTTTTAAGGTATATTCGCATTCGATCTTCCCACTTCGCGCCAAAATCTTTCGTTTCCCTCGTTCCTTGTAACCCATCGGAGGGAGATCCGACGACCGGTGCCCTGGCATTTACTTGCCAAACAAGAATAGACATGAACCCTCCACCTCCCGCGTACTCTCATGCCGCCCAAGAAACCCCTTCAGTGCAATCACCCAGCATGTCTTATCCTCCGCAACCTTCGGCATCATCGTATTCTCCAGTCTCTTCCAGTAGCTCATTGAATTTGTACGCAACTGCTCTACGCAATGGTCTATCCTCACCCAAATCACCTCCACCGCCGTTTGGAGCACCTGGAGCATATACTCGACCAGTCGCAAATGTTCCCCCTGCTCACATTGGCGTCACCAGATTCGTCCTCAAGCCTGCTAGTATTGCCGCGACCGCGCCGAGCCGACTTTCGTTCTTCTCTTCAGCTTTAAAAAGTTCCATTTTCGGAGCCGGAAAGGTGCCTGTGATCTTGGATATATCTCCGCAAAACCATTGACACTTTCGCGATCGCAGTCGTTTACGATCCAGGCATCTCACGAGTTCCATTCAACTCCGAGCTCATCCTCAGCCCCGCATCCCCAATCAGCCCCGACCACCCCAGTGCTCGCGTTTCGTGACACTACGCCTCTTATTGGTGCACACTCCACAAGTGGAATAATTGAGCTAGATCACGGAGTGGCGAGGGTGTTGGGAGTGGACTTAAGTTGGTGGATTTCGGTTGCTCTGGCCTATATCGACTTCCTGGATGAAAGAGATGTGAGCGTCAACTGTGAATTCGATGCACATCCACACCCACTATTCCCTTTTGGTTTTTTAGGGATATCAAGCGGCTTCGGACGGCTAATCACCCCTTGCTCCCCACGCTCTTTGTTCAACATACTGCCATATATGTGATGATTAATGCAACGCCTGTGTGGGTATATAGTCGAAGTAGCGTACATTAAGTGGACTATTAATAAGCAATGGGTCGCCCTGGTCGCTAATGACAACAGAATACGGCATATCCAGAGCACCGATCCCTTCGAATTGAACCCAGAATTTTATCGACGTCTTTCAGCCCTAGCAAGTGCCAACCATACTTTAACTAATCTCTGCACCAAAGACTCCAGCGTCTCACCCTTCACCCTTTCGACCTCAAGGACAGTTCGCTTACTTAGCGAATTGGGCTCTCGCGAAGTATCCCTTAACTGCAAACCGACCCTCCGATGACCCCACGATATGCTTAGATCAGAGAACGGGACGAGAATCCTTCCAGAGGAGGATAGGGAAACTTGGGACGAATTGGAATGTGTATGAAGGGGCGACGGTGGAATGACAGGTGCAGGGAAAAACGTGGGTGTTGGGGCAATAAGTCCTGCTCTCAAACCATACTTGCATGTAAGATCTTCGACGCGAGCCCTCGGCTGTTTCCACAGTGTCGTTGATTAATCTCAACTAGAACATGGGTAATGCGCCTACCTGCATAAGGTTGAATAAGTCACGATACTGGTCATCGGCATTATCTAGATAGAGCGAAGATTCATCCGTACGGACATCTTCGCGCGTTTTGAGGAGAATGAACATGTCTAATATTGTGGTTTCCCTTTGAGTTGATAATATGGGCGAGGAGGATAGTGGATGTCCGATTGCAGAAGACGAAGGGAAGGGGTCCGTCGTAAACGGCCGATTCACTCTTCGAGCGTACAGGGGAAGATACGAGGATCTCAGTATGTGCATACATGCTAGATCGGACTATGAGCGGAACCACGACGACGGAGAGGTGTGAAGCTTACCTATCCAGAGGTCTCGACACGTATAACGCAAGCTATAACACATCCAATAAAACGAAGCCCTTCTCTCTTCAGAAGAAGTAAAGTCAGGACACGTCCAGTAGACGATCTGAAGAAGTAAGTGTGGGGGTACCCCCACTAATGTAGGCGGATATTTTGCCGTCCTTTGCAGGCGAGCATCAAGTTCTGCATCCCTAAGATATGGTGGAGGTGGAGGTGCTTTCTCCATGTCCAGGATCATCTTAACCAGTGATGAGAAGGAGTGAAAGGCTTTGGAAGGCTACTGATGACTGCGGTCAGGTGCAGCGCCTCCCCGTGGGAGTCCAAGTGTCGCAGCCACACCAACTTCTTGCACGTAATATGGCTTCCTACTTTACTCCTACTCCATGGCTGCTCTCCCCCAAGTTTTCCCAAGAGTTGCGCTAAGTGAGGACCTGAAGAGGCGAATCGGCCAACACTTCGTGTTAGGTTTTCACGGTTATGAGATCGATGCAAATGTCACGGCACTTATCCGCGAGTATCATGTTGGGAATATTATCCTTATGAAGAGGAATGTCAAAGGTTTGTCCGGTCATCTTTAGCTATGCCATGTCCTTACCTCCTGGGGTGCGAGCAGATATTCCTCAGCTCCGGAAACTCATCAATTCGCTTCAGCGTCTGGCGCGTGACGCAGGTCATGCTCGCCCACTGATGATTGGCATGGACCAAGAAAACGGTCTTGTTTCTGCTTTCTCGACCGAAGCCCCGAATGGAGGGACTCTATTCCCAGGGGCTATGGCTCTCGCTGCGACGGGCTCGCCAGAACTTGTCCAAACAGTCTATCATGCCACAGCCGCAGAAATGAAGTTGGCTGGTCTCAATTGGTGTTACTCTCCCGTTGCGGATGTGAACTCTGATGCGCGGAATCCCGTTATTGGGGTGCGGTCATTTGGTGACGATCCTTACAACGTTTCCGAGTTTGTCCGAGCTGCTTCCCGAGGATTAACTTTGTCAGGGATCGCACCCACCCTGAAACATTTTCCGGGGCATGGGGGCACCCATGTAGACTCTCATCTTGACCTCCCAAAGATCCCAAAATCACTTGATGACCTCTATTCACTCGAGCTCGTCCCTTTCAAAGCTCTCATCCATGCAGAACCCCCAGTTGCGAGCATCATGACGGCTCACATAGCTCTTCCTTTTATCATAGGCTCCGATGAACCGGCTTCCCTTTCACATAAGATTACAACCGAGGTTCTTCGCATGCAGCTTGGCTACTCCGGCGCCGTTGTCACCGATTGCCTTGAAATGGATGCAATTGCTGGAACGGTTGGCGTTGAGAGAGGTGCTGTGCAGGCTCTTCAAGCTGGTGCAGATATCGTCATGATATGTCATACTTTTGAGAAACACGTGGGTGCAGTGAAGGAGGTTTGGAAGGCATTCGAGAATGCGGAGCTGATGGAGGATATGTTAGATGCGAGCGATGCCAGGGTGGATAAATTGAAGGAATCGTTTGCTGGCAGCTGGGGCGACGCGATTGTTGAGACAAATTTCGAGGAACTGGCGACTCTCAAAGGGCAGAACCAAATTTTAAGCCTCGAGGCGCACAACCTAGCCGTAACTGTGGTTCATGGCCCGAGTAATTTCGTACCCATCTCTCATCTCTCCAGGTCAAGGAGACTGGAAACTCAGACAAGCATTATTCTTTTCACCCCTGCTATGGAAGTTCTCAACCGTGCAATTGACGATGCTGAGAATATTGTTCGCACCTCGGATGGGAGAGTACGAAATGCAGCTGGGCCGTCATATGAAGCCTTTGCAGCGTACGTTTCTGACAAGACCGATCAACTGTCCGCGTCATCGTTCCATCATGAGCTATACATGGCAGAGGACGCTCCCCTTCTTACGGCGGAAGCTAGCTCTTGTCCGGCGCTGGCGTTGGCTCACCAGGCAACGACAATCATTTTTGCAATTCGGAACGCACATCACAGTGCGTGGCAATTGGATTACTTCGAAGCTCTCATCCGTCATTTGCAAAGAAATCAAGCTGATGGCATTCTTTCACGATCTGTCTATGTTGTCAGTACCTATGCTCCGTATGATATTCCGAGCCTACAGACCCGCCTGGCCTCGCAGGATTTGCAGCTAGAATTGGCATATCTCGCATCCTTTGATTTCACATGTTCAGCACTCAAGGCTGTGGCTCGTGTTATCTTTGGTGACATTGAGCCACAAGGGAAGGTTCCTGTGAGTTTAGCCTTGTAAATGTCTCTCCACGACGTGTAGTTGAGAACCTGGTGTACTCAATATGACGATGATGCCTGTAGCTGCCTTGTCAGCACCGATTTATCCCGTGCTCGAATACGCTCGCTTTGAGCGTGAGAGCTCAGCATGGCGTTCGCACCTCATCTTGTTTCTTTTTTTTCCGTTCCCCTCTTAATAGAACAATTCATCCTCTGATCCATGAAGACCAATCTTATATTGAGATTCGACTCTAATCTATTCCCGAAACAGCCAGAAACAGACTTCCACATCATTGAACAACCAAATAATTCGGCCAACAAGAGTTCTTGATTTGAAGATTATTCGATCACGATCACCACACATTCTTCTTCGTTGGTTCAATGTTCAATTGCCATGCATATGCAGCACAACTGTTTCGAGTTCAGTTCGAAACTATGTCCGCTGTGCTTCACCCGACTCTGCACTTGCACTCTCTTGGGATACACAGTTTAGCACATGGGTGAGCAACTATATCTTCTTTCTTTTCCACCGTCTCTCTCTCTTTCCTTACTAATGGCTTTGGAATCGTTGGAGATAGGAACAGTGGTGATCCGTTTCACAGCAAAGTACTCTGAGAGCCACAAAGGTACGAGCCACCAGGTGAACTTGATCGGCGACATACAACCATTCAACTTTCCCGTTTTCCATTCTCTGAACCGATCCACACTGATGACATATTATTTAACACCCATTTCGATGGATAGGGATAGGGGCAAAAATCATTCTTGCCGATATCCTGGTAACCCATCCTGCATGGGGATTGATGGTTTTGAGATGTCTGGTTGAGAGAACAATGACCGTCCAAGGGGATATCGGTGGAGGAAATGTATACTGGAGTGACCATACTGTTTTCCCTGTATGTTAACTCACACTAGCCCACCATCTTGTCCCACGACCACTGGAAGGTTTCAATGAAGAGGTCGTTACATCCCCAACGGATCTAGGTGGTTCCCAATTGGCACTTGCAGATGTGAGAGCACTGGCTCACTCGAGAATCCGTCCGAATGTTAGTTGTAGCATGGCACACGCATACAAGTAGGAGGGTAGAGTGGCGTGTCATGATGGTGGTGGTCAAGAATTTGAGTTCGCACAAGTGCGAGTGAGGGTGATATGGTCATGCCACCGGAGCACATAAGACAACAGATCACAAGTACGAGACGGAGGGATGCATATGTGGATAGAGACAACATTTGATCGAGCAGCCAAGTTGGCGACAGGGGTGAGGCCCATGCGTGTGTGTGTGTGAAACAACAGCACTTGCGAGGTATACAAATGCGTATGATTCTCAGTAACAGGTTTGTGGGATGACCCATAGTTTGCAAGTCGATGGGGCATAGCCTATAGGGGACCGAAGCTGACAATGATCATTTGTCTGCGACTGGAAAATCCTGAGTGTGATAAAGCAAAGGAAGCACGCGCGAATAACTTTGGAGGAAGAGGACAAAAAGGGAAAGAGGAAGGAAAAGCGTAAGCAGAAATGAATAATAAATGGCAAAAGGGAAAGTGAATGACATAATTTCAGCGTCGAGATTTTACTACATAATATTGGCCACGGAAGACTCTACAGTGCTTCACGCGACACGCGACTAAACTTATGGTTATGCATATGTTATATGGCCACCTTGCAAGAGGTAGCTCCTTTAGTTTCTGTGGCCTTCTCTATTGATAATTGCGGTCCCACTTTCTCCTTGCCCTGAAATTAATCCGAGTAGTTTCCAGTTCCTGCAAGCCCCTTTGCCGATGCGATGCTCTCCTAGTACAGTCCCATCTTGTTGGTGCGGTTTCCCTCCTCAACACCTCTTCATTAGCAGAAGCTGGACCCTTCCCAGCACAAACTCCCAATCAATTCGCTGTAAATTATTGCGCGGAGCGTCGTTGCGCGCATGTTTGGTGGGAACAGGACGGGGCCCGCTTAATTAGAACGCCGCGTGTGATTAGACCGCTGTGTTTGACCGATTCGTTTTAATTGTACACGTGCAACTCGTTGGCACTTGTGCCACGGACTCGCTCCTGCGATGTAGGAAGCGTGTTACCCTTCGGGGGATCATCGGCCCTTTTGTGTTCTTATGATGGATAGAAAGACTGACTCTTTGTGCTCTGCACGCAACCCCCACCCTCCGAAACAAATTTCTGCGCTCTGACGCGTGCCAACATGATTCCTGTTTCGCAATCAGCGGAATTGACGTTTGATGGTTTCCTAACTCGACTTAGAAACTCGTTTGAAACTCGTAACGTTATTGGATTCGTGGACCTATTCCTCCCCAATGGTTATCTTCGCGAGTGAGGACTCGTTCCATGCCTGTCGAAGAGACACAACTGAGACGTCTCGGGTCAGCCTTCTTATCTGTGACTGGGATCTGAGGTCTGTTTCAAGAGATTCACTCGAGGAATTTTTCCGCGCTCGGAAAGGACTGCCGGGCATCGATCCCAAGACAATCAAAGTAGATGATAAGAAAACTCCACCGCTCTTCAACGCCACGGGAAACTGGATTCAGTCAGTTTCTTCCAGCCCAATCAAAAAGGTTCTGTTGTGACCATGACCATTTCTGTGCTCAGAGGATTTTTTGTTTTCGAAACCCCCACCTCCCTTGGAGAAGGCGTAGCGAGGATTCTTCCGGATACTGCTACTGGAATTTTCCGTGCCTTGACATTGTCGCTAGCTCTGCACCAACTCAAAGATCATGGTCCTCTCGTGGGGCCCAACCGTCCAATTGGCTTCAAACGCGGCCCTACGCGCCCATCTCTCAACTGGCTTGAGGAGCGCCAATCCTTATCCTCCTTTACCCCCGATTCCCCTTACCCAAATCCAACGGTTATCATCATTGGTGCTGGTCACTCAGGCCTCATGCTTGCAGCGAGACTGCGCCGCCTGGGTATCGTGACCCTGATTGTTGATAAACAGGAACGACTGGGAGATTCATGGAGGAAAAGATATCACTCGCTTGTCCTCCATGATGCTCTCTGGGGTAACGTATTTCCGTTCCTACCTTACCCCGATGATTGGCCGGTGTTTCTGTCGAAAGATAAGTATGTGATATCTCCCTCCTTTACTTTATGCCCTGGGCTTATCGGTATACTAGGGTTGCTAATTGGATGGAGTCTTTTGCGAGCATCATGGAGCTGAATGTGGTACATCCTCCCCACGAAATGAGATGAACAAGGATTAAAATTTCCTGGTAGTGGTTGAAATCCACGATTGAGCCTAATTCAACGTTTTACAACGAAGAATGTGGAACATGGACTCTCACTGTACGAACAGGGGATGGGTCGATTCGAAAAATGAAGTGCAAGCATCTTGTTCAAGCAACTGGTCATGCGTTGGTCCAATGATAACACATCTCATGCGAATCCTAACCCAGGCCGTAATAGAGGGGAACCGAATGTTCCTAGCTTCGAAGAGGAAGGACTTTTCACAGGCAGTATCCGTCACTCAAGTGCTCACGATGGCGGAGCAATGTGGAAAGGCAAGAAGGCCGTAATTATTGGCTGTGGCAACTCCGGTAAGTGTCCCAATGACAAGGAGTCACAGTTTCCCGAGCCCACAACAAGATCTCCCCCTCGCAGCACACGATATTGCTCATGACTTCTATAGCAAAGGGGCTACCCATGTGACTATGATACAGCGTTCGGCAACGGCTGTGGTCAGTAGAGACGTAGGTATCCCGAAACTCCAGTACGCCGCGGGTTATCGAGAGGGTGGCCCACCCACAGAGGTAGGGGATTGACCTTCGAATTCGGCTTGTAAATCCCGCATAATGCTCGTCCAGGAAGTAGATTTAAGCGTGATTTCGTTCCCTTACAAGGCGTTTGAACCATATGCAGTGATGACGCATGCGGCAATCAACGAGGAGGACAAAGAACTGCTCGCTGGCCTTGAACGAGTTGGCTTCAAACTAAGAGGAAAGGGGAGCCCCGGACTACTGTATCAGTACTTCCGGTTCTCGGGGGTCAGTGTGCGGTCTTAATTATACAATTGAAACGTCTAACGGTTATTCCTCATGCAGGGTCACTACGTTGATGTCGGCTGCTCGTCCTTGATCATCAGGGGAGACGTGAAAGTAAAGCAAGGACAAGTCCAAAGCTTCGAGGAAAACGGGCTTAGATTGACGGATGGGAGTTTTCTTGAGGCCGACGTCGTCGTGCTAGCGACGGGTGCGCAGGTGCTTTGTTCCTGGGCCTCGCTCTGAACCTTTCCCGTCATAGGCTATAAATCAATGCTCGAGACTTGTCGTAAGATCTTTGGTCGTCACATAGCTGACCAGACAGCTGCAGCTTGGGAAATGAAGCCTGATAGTGACATATATGGTGTTTGGACGCATTCTGGTTTCCCAGGGTAAGTTGTCCTCAGCCAAACTGGTCCATCAATCGCATTCATTCTTCACCCACCAGGTTTTGGTACATCGGCGGTGTAGGTATCCTATCACCATTCCAAGATAGAAATTGAGCCTTTTCATCTCCAGGGAATCCTCTTATCTAGAATATACTCAAGATATGTGGCACTGTGGATCCAAGCGATAGAGCATGGTGTCGCGCCGAAGCGACGGTCAGTTGGTTCATCAATCTATTCCTCGAACTCTTACTGAATGCTACGAACAACCCCCATTAGAGCCCCTGCTCAAACATTGTGTAAGGGAGTTGGGACTGTGCCCGTGAGGGCCAAGCTATGATATGTTGTACATGTAAATGATCTGTAGACATGAGCTGAATAAGGAAGTTGCGTGACGTGACCGATCGGTGATGGTTCCCTCATCTGACTCTCAAAGCCAGTCACCCGAATAAGTTAGGTCTATCCCCATGCGATGGCCGCGGAAAACGAACTAGACTCTTCCTCTATCCTCATTCTATTCGCCACTGAGACGGGTACATCCCAGGACGTGGCTGAACGGATAGGAAGATTGCTACGCAGGTCAAGTTTTCGTGCAAGAATTGCCTCACTGGATGGATATTCGCCAGTGCGTGTCATCGGATACGAGGGCTTCCGGGAGCCTTAAGAAGTTTCAGTCAGGGCTACTGGAAGAAGACGTTGTAATATTCGTCTGCTCCACTACCGGCAACGGCGATGAACCGCACGAGATGACATCCTTTTGGAAACAACTGCTTAGGGTTGATCTCACGCCTGATATGTTTGAGCATCTGGATATAGCTGTCTTTGGTCTCGGGGATTCATCTTATGAACGATTTTGCTGGGCGACAAAGAGGCTTTATCGTCGTCTACTTTCCCTCGGAGCTCATGCCATACTTCCCCGCGCGGATGCAGATGAACAGCATTATTTGGGGTTCGTTTGCTTCCCGAATGTGCTTCTTTCCGCCCTTATGTAGGTTCCATAGCATATATGGCACGCTCGATCCCTGGCTTGATGACCTGCTCAAGAGACTAAACGAATTGTACGACCACTCCGCTGAGGCTTCTTCCCCGTCGGTGTACATCAAGGCTCATAAAGCACGTCTTCTTCTTTGTCCATCTGGTGAAGAATTTTTGGATATTTCAAGATCGTGCTCAGAAGCTCCAGCTGACGTCCGCGCGCGTGTGATTGAGAACAAACGTATTACTCGGAGCGATTGGTATCAAGACGTGAGGCACGTTGAACTGGAGATCCAAAACGCACACAACAAGTCAGTATCTAAGGCATGAAATGGTATTCGGCTGCTAACGCTAACGTAGCTTCCAGCCTGGAGATGTCATTACGTTGCGGCCACAGAACGAACCCTCTGATGTTGATTACCTCCTCTCCCGGATGCGTTGGAAAGATCACGCAGATGCAATGTTTGAGGTAGTGCAAGACGATGAGGGTATGTCAATCCACCGGCTCCTCGCGGGGTTGCTTACCGGTCAACGCACGGCGACGCTTCCAGATGACTTCCTACCAACATCCTTACCAAAACGTTCCTCCTTGAGAGACTTGCTCCTTGGGCACATTGATATCGCATCTGTTCCTCGACGCTCTTTTTTTGAAGCCTGCCGGGAATACACCTCCGATGAGAGAGAACTAGATAGGCTGAAAGAATTCTCGTCAAGTGAGGGTCAGGTGAGTAGACCGGTTCTCTATATCATGCGCTTCCCTTCTGAACTGCGATACTTTAAGGATGACTTGTTTGAATACGCCCAGCGCCCGCGGCGTACAATCCTTGAAGTTTTGGCAGACTTCAAGTCGACAATGATACCAATCGAATACGTTCTCGATATTTTCCCTACCATCCGCCCTAGGAAATTCTCCATATCAAACTCATCCCAAGTATGTTAACAACCTATCGCCCGTTCCCCTGCCTAATTCCCATTAGGTGTTTCCAGGGAGGGTGCAGCTCACTGTAGCAATCGTGCGTTACAGGAGTCTTTCATTAAAGGTAATTCGTCGGGGACTGTGTTCCACTTGGCTCAGTCGTTTGCAAATTGGTGCGTCATGTCGTTTAGCAGGAATATTCCTTTTGATATACGTCTCGTGTGACAGGTGACAAAGTGTCATTTGCGTTCCAACAAGGAAACATTGTGCTTCCAAACAGGAAGGAGTCGTCCCCAGTGATACTCATTGGCCCTGGGACTGGGCTTGCTCCACTGAGGGCGATTATTCAGCATAGAATAGATGAGGGTCAATATGGTGGGCAGCCGACGCCCGTTTGGTGGTTCCGACAAACTGATGAGTAATCCAGATAATCTACTTTACTTTGGATGCAGGTCCGCATCAGCTGACTACCTCTATCGAGAGGAGCTAGAGGGATATGTTGCGAATGGACACTTACGATTGCGACTTGCCTTTTCGAGGGATCAGGTAATTGAGAATCTCTCCGTTCAACCGTTCAACCGAGTGCTTAGGATAACCGTAACAATCCAGGAGAATAAAATCTACGTCCAGGATATAATCCCAGTTGACAGGGAACTAATACGGGAGTGGATTATTTTACGGAGGGCATACGTGTATCTCTCCGGGTAGGTATCCCTTGTTCGCTACTGTCCCAGTATTCACTCGATCTATCGTAGATCTTCGAATAAGATGCCTGCGGCTGTACGTCTCGCCATCCGGAAAGTATTGGAAGGCGAAGGTGAATGGACGGAAGCCCAAAGTAGAGCATACATGACACAGATGGAATCGGAGGGGAGATGGTTTGAGGAGACGTGGAGCTAAAAACATTGCCGATTAACAGGCGGCTGCGATTGTGTCATTTGTATCTCTACTTGCATCGACCTCCGCCACCTCGGGCTGTAGTGTTGTAGCCATACTGACCGCGATGACCTAGGAGTGATGCACCAAGCTTGCCTACTATATTGGCAGCCTGTGCTCCATGAACGGAAAAACCATTATGTGGAAGTCGGACTCGCTGGTGGCAAGATGGCAAGAGCCCGGTAATCATTCGGAGATTGTATCGACCTCGTGAAATAGAGTCGATGATCCCTCTCTCGGAGAGTCGGAAATAGCCTTGCCACGGTGATTCGTTCTGACGCCGCCAATGAGCCCTTCCCCTGTTATGATGCTCTCGAGCAAGTGACTGCCTTCCTGGATGGCATAATCAAATTGTAAAATAACAACGAGTTGATTCATCAAAAACCAATATAGAATATGTAACATATAACGAACCGGTGAGACTTCCGACAATTGATATCGTAGCTTGTCTCTCCTACTCCCCTCAGAAGTTCGCATGGAGGTGTCCAGGTCCGCTAGAAACTGAGACCTGTCTTCAGCTCTACATCGATCTATTGGCAGCTAGCTGGATGGGACTCAGTATCCCCTGTGCATTGCCTTGGGAATTGCAGCTGACTTGCGGCGATCCAACTCCGTTCAGTGGAGAAGTAGCCCCAGAACATGCCTGTCTGACTCATTGTCCAACCCTTTCAGCCGTGCCTGAGGAGCCTGAGGACGCTTGCAAAACAAATGGGATTAGCGCCGAGCGCCCTAAACCTTGTTAGATGAGCATCAAATCCTCGATCGAGCACTGATCCGAGACCATACAAGTTCCCAGACTGAAGACTGCCTCCTCGACCAATTCAGTTATAATTGCGTCATTACGTAAGCATTCCGGCAAGTACCGTGAACAACCCCATCGAGCAACAGCTCCTCTTCTCCGTAACGTTTTGCCTTCGTTCCGCTTCGACAAGTGCTCCCAGTATGGTCAGTTCCATAAATCTTCATATTCACTATTATAAGGTCGTTGTTGAGGCGTGTTCCTCTGTAGTCCTTAACATCTGGCGCAATGCGCCGGCTTATGAAAGAAATCACGACCCTGCGAACTTCTCCACCTGACGGCATACGGATCGCCACCAACGATGAAGATATACTCGATGTCATTGGTATCGTGGCCGGCCCCGGTGAGTATCGCAGGCGATCAACTTCACACGACAGTGGTTTTGCCTTATTTGTTTGTTTACGTTGGAGGTCAAGCGTTGCTAATTTACCTGGCTTGGTGTGGCGGTAATTCATAGAGGGGACACCGTATGAAGGAGGATATTTCAAGATAAGGTTTCAATTTACGGAAGAGTTCCCCGCAGCTCCCCCAAAATGCATGCACCCCTTTCGTTGCACTCAACCCCTTTTACGCGTCCTAATGTTTTGTTTGATAGGCACGATGATAACCCGTATATTCCATCCCAACGTCTCAAAGTCGGGGGAAATCTGCGTTAATACTCTGAAGAAGGATTGGAAGAAAGAATATGGGATTGCACACATTCTGATTACAGTGAGTCCCATTGACTCCGTTTGTTGTTGCATAGTTGAGATGTGTCTCAATTTACAGATCAAATGTTTACTTATTTACCCTAACGCGGAGTCGGCCCTCGATGAGGCTGCAGGGAAGCTGCTCCTCGAAAATTACGACGAGTACTTCAAACACGCGAAGCTTATCACTCAGGTGCACGCGAAGCCAAAGTTACGACCCCCAGAGTTTGATATACCCTCAGCGTCGTCAAACTCATCTGCACCAATGTCACATAACGACTCACTTCCATCAGTGGTACATCCTGCCTCGTCGAGCCGGTCACCACCAGCGATCTCAATCCCAGCCCCTATTCCTCGTGAGATCATCCCTCCGACGAACAACATCACACCAGTCAAGTCAATGAAGACGTCTGCTACGCTCATTGCGCATCTCGCTCCGCCGGAGCACGCCGAACCGTTGCAGCTTTCTCCATCGAACAACAACAGCACCACGAAAATCTCCACAACCTCATCTTCATCTACTATTGTTACGAGCTCGAGTGTAGCTTCTCTGAACAGTAGCGCCTCGGGAAATAAACCCCGAGCAGCGGGCCTTTACAGCCCACCGCCATTGCCAATGCTGGCGCAGCCCCAACGACTGCGGTGAACGTCGCACCAACGAAGTCGTTGAAGCGATCAGTTACTGGCCCAGGTGGTGTGTCGAAGCGAAAGAAAGGTCTTAAGCGGCTGTAGGCTGGGATTCGTCAGTGTTACCTTGATCGGACGGACATGTTTTATGGTTCCGGCAACTTCATGATTCATGGTCACCTCACGCACTGCGACGATTCTGCCCAGTATCTGTAGCTTTAGTCCCCCCATTCACCTGCTCGTTAAGACTTTTTGTCGCTATCATGTGCAATTTCTCTTCCTCTTTGCTTTCGATGTATCGACCGTAACACCTAACTGTCTATTGTTTTATCACATTTTTAATTGGACGATTTTCCTTTGTGTGCACCTGGACCAATATCCTGCAATCAACTATGCAGGGGGCAGCCAACTGTGCAGAATGCGTCGCAAGATCTTCACTATTCCCCCATTGAAATTCGGCGTTCTTTCGACGAGATGATACGACAAATCATAGCACAGGAGTCCCGAGGAATTGAGAACCAGCCAGCAACGGTGGAACCTCCAAAGGCGGACTGTTCTTTAACTTTCTGGTCTCACATCCAAGATTATGCTGTTCAGCTGTTAAATCAACTAGGGGCATTTAAGCCCCCCACACCGTGAAATACGAAACGTCGAGAATCTTCGGGGCGAACTTGGGATATTTACGACTGCCAGACGGAAACCAGGCCACTAGAAATAATCCTGCCAATCCCTCATGGGAGATGCTTGGACCTGTCATCTGTGATTAAAAGGGATGGAAAGAAGAGGTATTGCGTCACCGCATCAGGAATCCTTCCCCAACGACCCCTCCCCGGTAGAAAGCGGCGTAGGCCATCAGTTCGCGTGCCGAGGAACTGGCCTGACGGCTGTACTCTACGGAAGTGTGTGGGGAGGAGGGGAGAGGGAGGGAGAGGGCGCAAGAATCATGTGTTTTTGGAATTAGCTGAGGCCTGAACGAAAAAAAAACTTGCGAGGTCGAACAACATCAGTTGTAAAACGCCAGTGATGCACTGAGTCGGAGGTATGGGGCTGCAAGAACATTAATCACGGACTTATTCGCGAAAAAATAACGGGGGAGTTCGAGAGCGGTTGCTGCGTGGTCCTGCTGACCAGTCCCGGCTGTAATTCCCGTGAAAAATGCTGAGGGACGGATTGGGTTAACTTTGAAAATGAATGATTGACATACTCAATGAATTCATGTTACCCTGATATGGTCATTACCTCATTGACACTAGGCTGCAGCAAGAGTCCAGAAGGTCCACGCTTCAGGGGAACAAAAACACAATCAGAAATAGGGATTTGGAACCAGAGAACACATGGGTTCCATGAGACCAGGTGGTGTATGCCGTGCCCGCGCCACATCCCCTCCCCCCCCTTGGAAAGATTGTCCATCCAAACGCTGGCCATTGATGCCCCCTACAGGATCGCCAGTGGCGTAGTTCATGCAACAAACGGGAAATATTCTCGGCGGCGGAAAGGCCGAACGCCATAACACGCACATACTGCATAATGCAATGTTATTGCACCCCATTCAAATGCCTTGCCACTACCGATCCCCCCTTTGGCGGCGTTCAGTTAGCCGGGGAATTGCTTATGGCTGGTTCCCAGGTAGTCAGTGACTATGTGAAGAATCAGAGAGGGAACCTAATCGAGTGCGGGATTTACTTGTACGTGCTCGCGGACCCAACCTAAGGGCAATCTGGGGAGTCATGCGCTATCAGATTCCATTGCCTAGTCTATAGAACAAGCCATGGGAACTAGGACCTAGACTCCTCCCTCAACAATGGCCTTCTCCCTGAAAGCCTGTGCGCACAGGTTAAGTCTCAGAATCAAGATAATCCCCACAACACTCATGGCTCACGGAAGGGAAAGGAGGGGGGACGCAGACGATCCTACCCATGAGCGATTGCGAAGCAAATATCGGCGGCTTGGCTAATGTGAAATTCGAAAACCTGCACGTTTCAGAGCAATGACCTAATTAGGTCAAAACCTGAGAACCCGAACACATATGAGCTCTACAGTAGTTTTCTGTTTGTCTCAGGCAAAACGTTTGATTCAGTTGAAGACGACGTACGATCGTTGCCAATTCCATTTCTGTAAGAAAGGAGTAATTTCCCCGAAAAATAAACGGATCGATCCCCATAACGTGGCTGATTCAAATGAGATGGGCCATTGCTGCGCCTCAAGTATATGCTGAAGATCCAGGGAGAAGAGAAACCGTATCAGCAAAGAGCTTTTTCTAACCTTTGTTCCCTATGAAAGTGATTGACGATGGACCGTTCGGCGGCAACCATAGCGTTCGTTTTTATAGCACTTCAAATTTGTCATGCTTTGCAACGCACACATGAGGCCCGCGCGTTAATAGCACATTGAAGGGTATTGCATGCGGAACCCCGAGTAGATTGCCCAAATGCCTACATTGCGATAGTTATTTGGTTGATCAGCAAAACTTAGTTGCGAGCCTTCATTCACATTACCCATTCCACACCCCAGAATAAGAAGCGACCCGGGCTAGCTAGACCTTTCTTTTTCGAGTAACGCACTCCTAGTCCCACGTGGCCCGCCCGTTCAGAATAAGAGACAACCCGAGCCAGCTGGCAAGGCGAACGTTCTTCAGCTGATTGCAACGAGAACAGGGAAAACGTTACGCGAATTACGCATGCATGCATGACAGCAAACTCCCGCACCCTCGATTTTTTTTGTATGGCCAACTGCAGCGGACAGGGCAACTACCGCCCAATTGACAACCGCCGCTCGCCCCAGCCGGGCGATAAAATAGCTGGACCACAACAATCAACGTATGGAATAAGGGCTTCAATTCACAGTTTTGAAATCTAGAACCCTTCAGCTATTCAAATGCCAAATGCTTTGGTGAGGCCGCGGTGCCCGATGGAGAGATTGAGTTCGGCAGAGGTGTTATGAGCGGGGCGGAGGCTATTCGGAGCATGCAGAGTTTCTAATTTTCTGATTTTTAATGACGGGTCCCGTGGCGTTAGATAGACTTGAATCGATTGGGCGAAGCGAGGAGAAAGTCGAATTCGAACGATCAGAATCAAAAAAGTTCAAATGGGCCATGCGTCGTGGGAACTGAGAACAGACACCGAATTTGGATACCAGTTTCAAATTCGCCGCTCTCCCAGCCCTCATATCAAGCGCGCGTAAACGGCGCCCCGATCAAACGTCGCGCCGTGATTATCCCCATCAACGCAGATGGAGCAATAAAAGCGGAAGGGGAAGAGCCCGACTTAAAGCCGAATTAGACCAAGTTGTACTATCAAGGTAGTATAATGATCAGTAAGATGAGGGAGATGACACTTGCCATGCAGAATTGATTGCACGGCAGTAAGTGCTCACAGCGGAGATCGGGGATGGGTGAGGATCTTGAGGTAGATGATTGCAATGGACGAAGTGGGGTACAAAAGGGAAAAAGCTACAAGGTGTGGAGTTACTCGTTTATTGAACGGACAAATGTTCAAGTCGATGGAGTTGGGTGTTATATGAAATGCAGTGTACTGGGAATGAATACCGAAGTACAACACCAGCCAAGATTGAGGGGAATTGGTCAAGCACTAGATCGCGGGCAGCGGTACCAGAAGGCCATAGGCCAATTGGTTGGATATTTGTAGGTCGGCCCTCGGCCCCAGCACCGGACACCAAGCGCTGCCGACTTGACCACACTAAAACTTGTAAGTCCCACTTCGTGAGATTGGAAGTGCGTGGGAAAGAAAAACGGGAGACAGGGGAAAGCATACGAAGAAAGGCGGACCTTAAGTTGTATGTGTTTCGCTGCGTGTCTGACATGAGGCATTGACGGGGAAGTTCTGAAGACGGCGTACCTGATCAGTTGGTAGCCATACATGATGATGGTGAAAAGCAATGCCAAAGAGCGTTTCAGATGGAGAAAGGGAAAACTAAACATATGTAGTACGTTTGTCGTCGGCGGAATCCAAAGGCAATGAACATCAATGGTCAGCGTATATGGACTAGTATAGTTCATAGAATTAAGGTTAGAAGAAGGTCATTTCTATTTGAAACTCCAAAGCATCTAATCACTGATGAGCATTGAGGAGTAACCACGAAGTCGGCACCTCAAATCCAGAGGTTTAAAGCTGTTAAGTGTGGCACTTTTTGATGCGTGGCACATATAGAAGACCCTTTGTTACTGTTTGTCCAATATCGACTAGGCACTCGACGACGAGAGTAGCTTTTCTGGGGGCTGCGTCTAGGATCAACCTGAAACAGGAAAAATTCATGTCGTTACCTAATCGAGAATAAAGGCGCATTGAGATCGAACCTGTTTGTTTGAGCCTTTGGGCCGCAATTTGCGCTCTCGGCATCGCGTTGACGAGTCATCCTTGTTTTCGTTGTGAGTTGCGTGGCAGCGTGTGCGGGCGGTTATGAGCGGAATTGGCGGGTGGTTCTTGCATCTTTCTCCCTTACACTTGGCGCCTTTTCGCTGCTGAAGGGGGGGCGCTCGAACCTGATGACAGTCCCTGGATATTGGCGAACCCGTGTGAAGCCAAACAGTACCTTGTTTGAGAACTCGCATTGCAACCAAGGGTCGTTCCTCCCCAGCGTCTTTTTTCTTTCCCGTTACCCATCAAAGTAATCTCTACCGGCCCTTTCACTTCCTCCAAAGCGATCAAACTCAATCACGCAACTATCTGGATCTCATTTCTTCTCCAGATTAGCAACGAGATGGTTTCATTATATTAAAGTCATTCCCTTTCTCATTTTTCCTTTGTCCGTTACTGTAGGACATTGCCGAAGTCGAAAAAACGATTGGATTTATTACGTAATTGAGTGCGCTTAACCCCTCTGGGCGAAATCCTCCTCTCAGACTCTTCTTCCTCAAACCAGTATTCCTCTCATCCCCCCTCTTCGCCACCGGTGACCAATACCACTTGCCTCTTGCGTGTCCTTCTCCCCTTCCGCCCCTGCTCCTGCTTTGCCTGGCCACAATAAAACTCCTGTTCTAATGCTGATTGAGCAGCGGCCTCACCGCCGCAACACTGGCAAACTATGATTCTAATCGGTCTCCGCTTTTCTCCAGTAAATCACTAGTGAACCCTGAACTCGGAATCCATATATTGCAGTTTATCCTTGAAATAATTGATTTACTTCTAATCTTGAATTGTTGGCAAATTGTTTGCACAGCAAAGGAGGAAAAAAAAGAAGTACAACTCAATCAGGATCCAGGATATCTGTCGTACTTATATACCGGTCCCCTCTGCTTCTTCCTCCTAGCCCTCACCCGTTGGTCTTCGTTAGCCTTTCACCGCCTCGTACTTTTTACTCGCACTCCACTGAGCTCTCGGGCACCCTCTTGGACTTTTTCGCTTCTCCTTGTCCCGTCAACTCGCGCACGGCCTGCTTATACACACAACCAGCCTTCCTCCGCCTGTATATCACCAACTTACCTCAACGTGTCCCCACTACCCATTCTGACTCGCTTCCAGTGCCTCCGAACTCGGTGGCAAAAGCTTAACGACAACCAAATGGCCAAAGAAGACACCCCGTTCTTATTCCGATGGTTTTTCCCTAATGGTGGCGATAGGCGAAATGCTCAAGTCATCCTCATGAACGCAGAAGGCGAACCTTATACCGCATACAAGGTGGCCTTTTCAACTCACATGCACAATACACACACATACTGACTGGCATGCCATGGCGCGCTTCGCCTCTTCCTTCAAAACAGTTTGAAACAAAATTCGATCCTAATGTCCCCATCGAGGCTCAAACGCCGCGAACGCATATCTACGCCCTGTCACCCCCACGAGCATCCTACAGCCCAACCAACTCCCACAGCACCCTCGTCCCTCCCCCAAACGATTATCTCTCCTCCGATTCATCACCACCGCAGAAACCCTCTAAATTGACGTTCACTCAATCTAAGAAAGAAATCGCAACGGTGAAATGGGAGAAGGATTTTTATGCTACCTTCGTTAAGTTTAATCATTGGCCCGGGGAGGATATCGTTGCGTACGTTCAGCAAGATGCTAATGGTGTTGCTGGTGCGAATGGTACGTTGCTGGTTAATGGAAGTGCAAAGAAGGGGGGTGCGAGGCATGATGATGATGAGGAGGAGGAGGATGGGAAGGAGGTTAAGAGGATTCAGAAGACTTTCTTATTGAGGCATGCTGTTATGAAGGAGGAGAGTGCGCTTGTGAAGGCCGCCAGTGCAGAGTGGGTTGCAACTTATTTCTCCTTTGGAGTGTCTGGGAATGAGTGTGCTAACAGGCTTTTTTTCAACTCGTAGTAAATGCTTGCGATTCTTGGTGGACGGTTGGAGAGAATGTAAATGGAAATTTTCCAAGTCAACAGGAGATCTTGTCGTACGTATCTCCTCTTTTTTAATTCCCTCATGCACGCCCAGCTCACAACTCACGTCATCCGCTTTTCAATATCAGGCAATCAAACCCTTTGAAATGCTGGCGTCAACAGCTGAAATGTGTCGTTACTCACCCCTGACTCAGGTGCTTTCGTTCTCACCAAAGTATATGGGATTGTCGACACACGATTGTATGATCACGTTATGGTTGCACTTGGTTAGGCTCGAGAAGGGATATGAGTGGTAGAGGAGGTGTTGTGCTGCGGAATTCAAAATGCTCTCGTTGTCACTTGCTTGCTTTCGTCCGTGATTTTCTTGCCTTGCTCACCATCACACTCTCTCTTGTTCTTCACATATTTCTTTTCCTCAGCTCAACTTTTTGTCTTGGCGCGATAAACTACTCATGCAACGCCATTCGTTCCACCCCCTTTTAATCAATTCAACTACCCATCTATCTGTCATACTAACTAGTCAACACTTGCCGGCTCCGGATTTGGTTTTTTTCTTCTTTTCTCTTGACTCCCTTCGTTCTTTGCTTTAATTTTTTCCCGTTGGTCATTTCTTTTGGTTGTGACTGTATGAATCTCGGTAGTACACTTACCATACAATGTGAAAAGAATTTAAGTAGTACTCCCAGGTCATCGGCAGGGAGGACGCGACGACTGAAAACGAACACCTCCTGAGAACTCGACGTGACGCGCGCGCTAGCCTCATTCTAAATTTTCGACAGGTAAGTAGCATAAGCTCCTGATTTACCATGAATATGTAGGCCTTACTTGGTAAAGCATTGCGCGGGATTACTGGCGAGTGAACGACTTGGAGTAAAAGCAAATCGACCGTGGCCACATGCACATGCCCAGTCGCGTGCCTCACCTATAAAGTACTAGTAGGTAGCCGGCTACTTCTGGCTCCAGTTCTATAGCACAATGCGTCGTTTCGGGTCGATATTGATATCCAGGACATGGACCAGCGGAATTTGATGCAGAGATCGGGAATGATGAGTGATTCTCCTAAATCCGGTTCGGCCTTGCGACAGGCTCCCCACGGTCACAAGTTAGAGTCAGGGGGTGTACATAACACTAGTATGGCAAGTAACCCGTTCCCCACTTCAAGCCGCCTTTGTTCGATTTTTTCTTATTGACCTTTTTTTTTTTTGGGGGGGAGGCACAAGACCAATTTGTGTTGGTTGAAGAACGCTCACCCGATGAATGGTTGTGCTACCAGTACGTGCAATTAACTTCTACTGTAGCCAGGCCGTTTTCCGATCTGATTGTTGTTCTAGTGTGGCGTGTTTGGCGCCTGCTCAAGCACTTTTTCTTTGTTAGGCAGGTAAGTAGCTGCTGTGAAGACGCGGTAACTATGACCTATGGAACTTCTTAAGCCTGGCGGCGACGTTACAATACTGCGTTACTTCGCCGGCTAAGAAGCAGCGCTCTGCACCGTTGCGCCGCCGCTCGAACCCCAGGGAATGTTCAGATATACATACTGGCATGCATGATGATACCCCTTTGAGTTGAATTTGAATTATATGCAAGGGCTGTCTCTAGGGCCCGCATACCATGTTTGTACGGTCTGCCGGGAGGGAATACCGTTGATGGACCCGGATCGGGCTCGATTTTGCATTATACACCTTGTGCGCTGGCATCACGCGTGCAATACGCACTGTCTCCAGTGTTTTTCCTCTATGAGCCACTTCTTTCGGACGTTCTGTTGACTCTTGGAGTCGACTATATAGACCGTTGGATTCTCTTCCTTTTCCTCTGGCTATCAGCTGGCCAATTGGCGGGTGCCATTCGGGGTTGAGACGCACGTACCACACGCAGGTGCATTGCGGACATATACAGCACCACTCCCCTCGGTCCCGCTGTGGCAATAAACGGAAAACCTCTGAGTGAGGAGGTTCGCGAGCAATATTTCCCACCGACCAAGCTCATTGCGCGCGGCGCACAACTGTCCTCTCTGCGAGTGCTATAGAATAGTTCCCGTGAATTGACATCACGTATGTATGGGTGCATGCAGGACGTGTTCGTGGGCGTCGGACATTGGGTACTTTTCGCCTTTTGGCTCTTTTCCAGCCAATTTCTACGTCTCATGGTACTACTTTGATCTAGCCGAAGGCCGCAATCAAAGCGGCGTGATAGCATCTACATAATAAGAACCGGTAGCGATCGAGCCTCGCGTTCATTGCGCGGCACCATCGCGTCAATCAACGGTGAAGGGGTCCTCGATAATTGGCAGTCCCACTCTCCTTATACCATGCAAAGCAGTGCTGGAGAACAGTCTCTGTGAATTGTATTGTGTATGGTGCGCGTGCGTAGGACAGCCCGTTTGATTTGAATGAGTGCGGAACGGACATTGGGTATTCTTTTGACTCTAGCTCCTGGTGGGCAATACTGCTGGCAATACTTCCGGCGGGGACAATTCGGATTCGCGGGTGCGCCTTACAGCATGCATGGCAGCGGGCCACCCCCAGGCCCATCATGCCGTCAATGGACGGTGAACCATTCGGCGAAGGGGTCCGCGATTGGCTTACTCTTACACCCAAGCGATACGGAGCATTGTAAATTAGCTTCTGTGGATCATCACCATGTATTATGTGTACGTGCGTCTCTATCTTTGGGTTAAGCGAGAGCCCGGCCGCGTATTGGGTGTGTAGATCTGTTGTAGCTTGCTAATTTAGCGAGGTAAGCGCGTGGCACGCAATTAATCACCTGAATGCACCCCTGGCCGGCCTCCACACCATAAGCGTTAACAATGCTAGCAGCGCGCTCGGATCCGGCCCTGCCGGTCTAATGTCGCACCCTCGATAAACGATGAAACAATTTTCGGCGAAAGGGTACCCTGTCTGCGTTCATTGTTCATTGTGAAAGGAAAATGGTTCTATGAATTGGCATCGCATTTGCATTGTGTTTGTTTGTGGCCTGGCACTTGAGGGTCATTAATTTTTTCTCCGATCAGCAAATTAATGATGTATAGACCTCGAGTGGGTAAGAAGTATACAATTTCATGGGAGGAAGCAGGGTCGGGACTGGTGGTTCAGCCTATCCCAATAGAGGCTGGTAACCTGTCTAGGTTCAGCCCTGCCATAATATTGCGGTTTTGGGACGCTCAGCCAGCTTGGCTGGTCACTTGTAATATGAATATTTCCGTCTCGGAAGCTAGACGTGCGGGCAACGGATGACTACGTTTGACCGAAGGAGATGCATATTTCCTGCGTAGTACTAGTCTCCTATTCATGCGCGGGCGTGTTCTGTGGTTGGTATGTCATCCTCACATCTTTACCACCAGCTTGGGCGATTTGATGGGGAGGACAAACATCCTAGCTTGGCGCTTAATTATTTGAATTACTGATGGGATGACCCTTGGACTCTATTTATGTACTACCCGCAAGGTTCTAGGCCAGCCGCGGTATGTCCCTTGTATACCCTATGATCGGCTTTTGTCGATGAACGCCAGAAAGTACACTGGTTCTTAGCCTATAGCAGGGGTGGTTGGGTTGATTGATGTGACACGCTGCGAAGGGTTTCTGGACCCCCCTACCTGCGTCCTCGCGCTAGCGGTACTATACTGGACCCATTGTCATGGCGTATCGGATCATCGTTGTGACCGTGGAACGTAGTTTGTTCGCCCTTACCTTCACTCGGCGTTTCATGTTAACCACCGATCGTCTCGTGTTGCTCCATGCGGAATGCTGGATATGCCCGATGGATCAGTAAAACCTCCGATAACGGAGGAACGATAGGAGTTTCTATTCTTCACCCCGAGCCTCAAAGCAACGCGTGCTTTGATGCAAGCTGAGCGTATCGAACATAAGTAGCACAAGATACGCATTCACCGGATGGTTGTTTATCTAAAGAATCGGGTGGAACATGCGAGCTCACCAAGATGCACAAACAATTATTGATCAAGAGCACGACAAGATACAGTCAAACTCTTGATCAATAAGTGAACAGGCCCGTCTGCCAAGGATCGGGCGGATGCAGAGACGACATATACATCAACTTGGGAAGAGCTTCTTTCTGAGCTAAAACGCGTCTAGTGGTACCAAGGATTTTCTCGCCGGTGGATTAGCAGGGCCGTGATTTGTGAAGGTGGGCTTATGCATGAGTCACTCACTCATGAAAAGCTACCGCTAAAGCCGCCCACCCTCGCAGATCCGCACTAACGAGCTCCGGATGCACATAGTGCCGGCCACTCTGCTGCACTACACACCCAAGTCCGCCTGTGTGCAACAGGCGGCAGATGAATCGAGTACTCAGTTCGAATTGTAAGGGAAAGTCAGTGACCCCCTGCTCAACCTTGGTGGGCAGGGCCGTTCTCCATGTTGATCACGGTGGGCAAGAGCAAAAGGACACAGGGGTGCGGCACGCGAAGTAGTGACGTGATGTCTAGAACTGCATATTCAGAAATGGTCAGAGGCGATCGAACTGACCAAGATGTATGAACAGTTAATGATCAAGAATGCGATGCGCTCTCCGTCGTGCAAGAGATTCGAATGCAGTGACGATACTGCATCAACTCGGAAAGCATTCTCGAGCCAATTTGTGCCTTGGCGATAGTGATGGGCGCGTCCCTAAGCCCATCCAACGTCCAATATCCAACCCACCGGAACATGACTTCTTTCAAACAACCCCTCGGTCACCGTTGACTCAGCGATCTGCCTAATATCACAATTTACACGCGTGCATGTACAGAAGAAGCTCTTGAAAGTCGCACTCGCGGTCGCAGGGTCAGGGAACCAAAGCAGAAATGGACCATCAGCTGTGAGTCAGGTTCACTGAAGTGATTGACTAGAAAGGCGAGCGCTAATCCGAGAAGCTGGATCCCTGAGCTTGGAGAAAAGCGGCAGTGCGCGGATTGTGAATCTTGTTTCTTTGGGTGTAAAATAATTGCCAAATTGATGATGAAGTGCAGCAAGAATGGCTTCGGCTTGCTGGACCTCCCTTGGAACGCTTGTAGTCGGTGACCACCACTGCCTTCCCAGCTAATCGGTGGCAGGGAGTCCGGTGATCAGCCTTCAAGGGATGTGGGATCGGAGGCAGAGTAGCTGGGAAGTAGGGAGAAGGAGGGATTACCCTCACGGGGGTTGCTGCAGTCACTGAGTGGCGACATAAACTTCGCGTGAGTTTCCTCCTAATTCCTTTTGGGACGCCCGAGGGGTATGCTGGGGTTGGGTCCAAGCCGAGATTGAGGCGGGCCGCGGCAATAACGGTTGTTCTCCCCGCGCGATAGGCTTCGACAATCGTCGCTTTCGAAGGATCCTGAGTTCAGACTCAAGAGTAAATAAACAAGTCGGCAATGAGCGTAAATGCGCAACTGTATTGATAATGGTACCTTTATAAATTTGAGGCCAACAGTCATCCGAGTCGGATCCCAACTTGAACCTCTATTCCGATAGAGGCTGGTGGTACGAGGCACATTTGGCGATGTCCAACATAGTGAAAATTCTTGCTTGGGGAAATCTCCAGGGTGCTCCTTCAGAGCTAGCCGAACCAGTTTTCCTAGCGTTCACAATCTTGATAAAAACAGGATATCACCCAAACTCATGCTGGGGGAGCGAAAGGCAAGTTTTTATCTAGCGCAAGCACAAGCCGGTAGCAAACGTTCATCAGTCAAATAATAATAATCGTACCACTCACAATTAATAGCGTTACTGCATTGTTCCACACGAAACGTTTCATCGGCCACCGCTTCTTGAAGTTCTACCCCTCGTTCCTTTCCATGGCCGGAATTTTCCCCGATATCCGGAGGGCCGCAGCCTCTTCCTTCCTAGCAATACTTCTATCCTTTCCACCCGTTCCGTGCAGTGGCTCCCCGATCGTGTTGTCTTTGGACAGGGGAGATAATTTGACGTTTCCATAAAAAACCCAAGCTTGGCCTATTTACCATTGGCCTCGTCCCTTTTTCAAGAAAACACCTCTCTTCCATCTCGAAGGTTTCTCTATCCTGTGAAGGACGGCTTTAATATGGACTCAACACAACACCTCAGAAGCCTCCAACAGCGCGATTTCAGCACTCGTGTGTATCCTCGACAAGTCAGCCTCTAGTTTCTCAAGACCTTCTTGAAGTCCTAGGGAAGAAGGTGCATCAAATCTCGTCCCGACAGTTTTAAACAGTCGCGTTGCTGGATGACCGCTGCGAGATGCGATCGTGCGAATTTGCTCGTTTTTCACCTCGATTAAGCTCATCAAAAAAATTGATTGGTATCAGTTTCGTCATCAAAGCATGGCTGTAAGTCTGAATCCACCCACTGGCAGGTATTCAAACGCTCCAATGCGATCCCTGTCCACTAGGCAGGTAGGCTCACATTTCTTATCCTCCAAGTGGAATGAGGGGTTTTCTTGGTTGGCACTAGAACAGTGACGTATTTCTCTTGACGGTTCTCCTGGGTAATCGCTCATACATTACAAGAGAGGCCTGGGCGAGAAGCAGGCACCCTGAGTGGCGGTGTCGCGATTGAACTTGTCTCTGTCGACGTTGAGGCGAAGGATTATGCGGTGACCACTTCGATGAGAGGGCGAACTAGCCCTTCTTCAGCTCCTTCACAGTGAAGGGACATCTCTATCTTCCGTCCCATCATTGGGACGACATCAATAAGACATTCTTAATCGTTCCAATTGCTGGGAATCGCGTCAACAAGCTGGTCATTTGCCGCAAACGCCCTCACCATCAACTTTATGTTCTTCCTTTGCTCAATGGAAAGATACCCAGAAGCAACCTGAGTATCAAGGATTAGTCGGCTTATAAGATTGGTTCACTATTCAATTGCTTTCCGAGCCTGCCCCGAAGTCCCAATCTTTACCACCTTCATGATTGAGCCTTGGGGAAAATAAAACTGTGATTCGCAGCTGCACTTCGATACAAACGTACGTCTACTAGCGGAAAGAGTCCTCTGGGGTATCGGATTCAGGCCACTTTTTGAAATACACTGATCAAGCACTTGGGTTCGACACTGTTGGGTCGCTGCACATCTGTCTTTGCTATGAGGTAGATTGTCAGATACAATGCCACTTCGCATTCACCTATCTGCTAGGTCTATCCAGTGTTGAGTTTCGAGTGGCTTTGTCATCTGGCGTGCCCAATCAAGTCCACGCGGTTCGCATTGGTGGACAACCCCGAGAACTCGATGCGCGCTTCAGGCTCCATTCGAAATTTCGACTGGTAAATTGTATGGGAGCTCCTGATTTGCCATGCATGTGTAGGCCTCGTTTTTTACACGTTGCGCGGGATTAATAGTGCGTGAAACAACTTGGAGCAGATGGAAATTGGTCGAATCATGACGTGCCTGGCTTGCTTGACTCCCACTCTAATTAGCCGACTACTCATAACTCCAGCTCTTAGCATGACAACGCCTCGCGCCTCGCGTTTCAGGTCCATAATGGTATACATGAGATGGACCGACGCGAGACTTGAAGTGCTGGATATCCTGGTTGGCCTTGCGACAGGGGCCGTGGGCGTAACGCCAGCACGGCAAATACCGTTACACACATAAGCTGCCTTTGTTCGATTTTTATAAGGTACAAGACCAATTTGTGTTGGCTGAAGAAAGGCCGATCCGATGAATGGTAGTGCTGAATGCAACTCCTGCCGTGACCGTTTGCCAATTGTTGTTTCGTATAAGTAGTGTGGTTGTGTGCGTGTTTTGCGCCTGCTTTTCTTTGTTCGGTAGGTAAGTAGCTACTATGAAAACGCGGTAACTCTATGTCCCATGGAGCTTCTTAGGCTTGGCGGTGATGTTGAAGCACTGCCTCTATAGATAGACCATTGCGCCACCGCTCGAATGATTAGGGATATGCATACTGTTTTGAGTTTAATTGGAATTATGCACAGGGGCTGTCTCTAGGGCCTACATACCGTTCTGCCGAGGCGGATTCCGCACACCGTGGGTTTCTCCTCTAGGAACTACTTCTTCCCTGCAATCTGTTGACTCTTGGACTGCGTAGGCCTTTGGATTCTCTTCTTTTCTTCTGTCTACCAGCTGGCCAATTTGGCGGCACCACTTTGGGTTGAAATGCATTTAATCTGCTCAAGCGCATCAATGCGGTACGAGCAGCCGAACAGCCGGCCTCGCCTCTGCTACCTCAATGACCGGCGAACCTTTCGGCGAAGAGGTCCACGAAACACCTTACCAGTCACGCTCTTTACACAAATATCCCGCTGGAAAATTGGGCACTCCTCAGCTCTTGGCTCTTACCAGCCAATTTGTCTCGAAGTGACCTCAATTGAAGTTGAACGCGCGTGATAGCATATAATATGTACTGGCAACGATCGAGCCTCGCATCCGTCGCACAAATCAGCGGTGAACTTTTCGGCGAAGAGCTCCGCGATTGTCAGCCCCACTCTCATAACCTCAAGCTTATTATCCCGTGCAAAGTGCTGATGTATTTCTCGGCTCTGGCTTTTTTTCCTGGCCAAATTTGGCGGGTAGTACAGCTAGTTACTACTTCCGGTTGAGGTTAACGAACGCGCGGTACATACAGCGTAGCATTAGCGGGCACTGTGCCCCACATCCATCGTAGCGTCAACAAATGGTGAACCTTTCGGCGAAGTGGTCCGCCGCGATTGGCTTACTCCTCTCATAATCCTATACAAAGCGCTGGGAAATTAGCCTCTTCGGACGACGTCACTTATTATGTGTACATGCGCCTCTATCTTCGAAAATACGAGCGCCGCCGACCGGGCAATAGGCATTTCTCGGCTGTAGATCTGTTCTCGCCGATTCAGCGGGTAATACTTCTGGCTGAGGCAGCAAGCTCGAATACGCACGCCATTGACCATCCATGAATTAATGGCCCCACGGCCTTGCACCATAATGCTATATAGCAGCGCAAGTACTCCGCCCTCTCATGTCAGTCTGAAGTCATAAGCACGTGAAACAAGTTTCGGCGAAGGGGTCCGCGATTCGTTGTCCACGTTCATACCTATGCACACACCCCATCATACCTCCTAAGCCTAGTGGCAGGGAGATGGTTGTGCGGATTGACATCGCATTTGCATTGTGTGTATGTTTGTGGCCGGGCACTTGAGGGGTTATTTATTCCGATCAGCAAAGCGATGAATACTGGATAGAAGATTCTGTGTTCTGTTGACTGAATGCAGTTATACAATCTCATGGGAGGAAGTAGGGTCAGGACGGCTGGCCCTGATGCGGCCCTACTAGCTGGGCCGGTTGCTTACTTGTATATGAATATCTTCGTCTCAGGAGCTAGACGTAATGCAGATGGATATTTCGTGTGCAGTGCTAGTGCTAGTGTGGTGTATTGTATGGCACTGGTATGGTACCGGCGAGTTCTTCGAATTTCTCTTTGACTTTCATCCCCTCGTCTTCATACACGGCTAGACCTTATTCTATAATTGGAGGAGCAATCTCTACCGCCGGCGTGTGGGGACGACAAACTGCGGGTCATTGTTTGAATTACTGGTTAGGTGTCTCTTGAACCCCATTCTACGATGCGCAGGGGTTCTAGACGAAGTCGCCGCGGTGTTTCCCTCAACGTACCCTATCATCGGCATCTTGCTGTGGGGGGCGTTAGAAAGCACGCCAGGTCGTAGCTTACACAGACTGATTGATGCGACGCACTGCCGCCGTCTGTAAGGGTTTCTGAACCCTTTGGCTGTTCGCCCTCTCCCTTTACTCGGCGTTTCATCTAAACCACCGATTGTGTTGTGTTGCCCCTTGCGAAAATGCTGGATCTGACCGATGTGCCCTTGGCCTTAAAGCATGATGGATGCCGGAAGTCGTACATAGATGAGGCGAAAGTCACAGCGCCACAAATTAACATATGATTTCGTTGTGGAACTGTCAATCTTGCTGGGCAGCACTAATCTGGAATTGTATGTATATCCAGGTCCGTCTGCGAGGGATCGAACGCATTATTCAGACATATCAACTCGAAAGAGACTATTATTATTATGGAGGAGGGGTGGGGAACCAAACGGTTTCTTGGTTGAAGCAATACAAGAACTAACTCTCCATTATATCAGTAGAAGGCCGTACTTGATGACTGTTGGGCTTTGTATATGAATTGCTCCTGAAAAACAAAACCACCACAGAAGCTTCCTGCCTTCCACCGATCTAGAAAAGAGTTCCGTATACACTTGATATGCATGGGGAATGAGCGACAAGACAGATGATTCACGCGGGGGGTAGCGATGCGGTATCTAAGAAATGTATATCTTGGGAAATGGCTGCAGAGACGATCTAGCTCACTAAAATGTATGGGCAAATGAATGCGATGCGCACCCTCGGCCAGGGGTCCGTCCTGCAAATGCAGTGACGATGGATCAGGCTGGAAAAAAGAATCTTCGAGACGGTCTGTGCCTTGGTGACAGTGATGGACGCGCGCGCCCCTTAGCCCATCCAAGATCCGAGCGTCCGAGCCACCGGAATATGACCAAGCCTCAATCTCTCGAACAACTCTTGTTGACTCAGCGATCTGCCTAAAGGAATTGTCTACACGTGTGCATATACAGAAGCCCATGTGTACAGAGATACTCTTGCAGTTTGTGGTTATGGGTGCAGGAAAGGCGATCAGATGGGAGTCAGGTTGAGTCATGATTTACTGAAGAGATCGCCTAAAAAGGCGAATTCGCCGGAGCTTGCCTCCACCCCCGCAACCATCAAGGAAGATACAAAGAATCGGTGCGTATCGAGTGGCGCGCAATCGGAACTTGAGCATCAAGGAATATTGGTTTGGGCTTCAACCCTCAGAAGCTTTGTCATCGCAAAGTCAGCGCATAGTAGAAGCACAGCCTCTTTCTGACAAATGCTGTCTCGCTTTCTCACAATGGTTCAATCCAATTCCCAAATGGATCCCAGGTTTGGATATACATTCTAATCTATGTGGGGGTGATGCCGTTGACGCCTCCACGGGAACTGGGGTGTGATTTTGGTGTAAAGTTGAGCAAGATAAAAAGGCTCCCAAAATCGTTCAAGTTGACCCATCCCCTCAGTCACACATTCCATATCTTTTAGTACACAACCTTAAAGCTTCAAGTTTCGCTCAACATGCCATCTTGGTTCATCACTGGTACCTCTCGCGGTCTAGGCTTGGAGTTCGTCAAGGAGCTCGTGAGTACCCCTCATATTATATCTGCACGACATGTCAAACTTTTCCTTCCCCTGTACAAACAACAGATTAAAGACCCTTCCAACGTCGTTATCGCCACTGCCCGAGACATCAGCGCCCCAGGTCTCGCGGCTCTCCCCAAGTCTAGCCGTCTACACCTCCTCACTTTGGACGTTTCCAAAGAGGAGCATTTTGTTCGTGTCGTGGCTGAGACTGAGAAACTTCTCCCCAACGGTCTCGATTACCTCATCAACAACGCTGGTGTTGACTACCAGACCAATCAGACGTTCGGAAACGACGTGTAAGTCGGCTACTCGTCTCCCCCAAGTCTAACTGAGATTTCATGTGACTAACTATTCCTACTCCTTCCCACACGTCCTCCATTCGGTCATTCGATCATTCGATCACCCTCGCAATTCACCCACACACCAGCGATTTCAAAGCGTTCCATGAGGAATTCGAAATTAATGTCATTGCACCCTTACGCCTCACCCGAGTACTCACCCCCTCATCAACAAAGGCACTGCTAAACGCGTAGCTTTCCTCACTTCCGAAATGGGTTCTATCACCGCCGCCATCGGCATTCCTTTCTTGGGCGATACCTATAGTACTACCAAAGCCGCGCTCAACATGGCTGTCAGGAAGTACGGCGCTGCATTGAAAACCGTGGGAAGCGATATTATATTACTTTCTATCTACCCCGGTATGTGTTTCAACACTTTTTTTTTGAGTTACCCCGTTCTAACACCATCAACAGGCTACATCCCCGGGACGGAGCTCGCCAATCGTCTCGTTCCTTACTTCGACAAGTATGCTCCTTCTTACCCCAGGACGCCCATCGACGAAGGAGTTTTGGGTACCCTCAAAGTCATCAAGGAGTCTACAAAGGAGGATCACGCCAAGTTCCTTTCGCACAAGCACACCGACATCGCTTGGTAACGAGTTCGTGTGTATTAGGGCTTTACTAATGAAGTCTGTTCACAAGTCGTTACTGTTGCTGTCAAATGTAAATGTAAATGTAAATACGAATTTTTCTGAAAATTTCAACTAGACTATTACATAGACTCGCACAGCCATCCGTTTCGCCAGCCTATTCTGAGCTTGCCTTGCCCGCGATCGATAAATCGCTTATCATAACTCGAGAAAAATGGTCCGATTGCTATTGTCCATCAAGGCTGAACTAGAGAACGTCACCGATCTCCAACCTGGCTCTGACAGCTTCGAGTACTTCTTCAAGGTCAATATTCTTCTTATCACACCTGTTTTGTCCAACGATCAACGATGCAAATGCGATAACGGGTGGCCGTTATCTTAAACACCCCGATACATGTGTGATTAGATTCAGTGCAGTAGCTGCCACGAGGTACATTCAAAACTCGTCAGTCTGAATCGAAAAGTAAGCCAGAACTTCAGCCATAGTTCTTTTTCTTCTTCTAAGCAATTCGTATATCGGCTCTAGACAATTCTCGATATGCCCACGACCAAGTCAACCAAGACTAATTTTTTATGGCGCTGTGATTTTGTAAACGCCAATCCTCCGCGACATTCGATACCGCATTCGGCGTCAAGCCATATGCAGCCCTCGAGGATGGGGGTGAGGGTGGGAACCCTTATTGATTCTCGATTGTAGGGGTCTAGAGTTTATAGATTTCGATCCAACGGTTCGTTCATCCTTTCCAATATTCTTTGTAGATGCTCATTCCTCTCAGGGGACGTGGAGATGCAATGGAATTGATTCCGGGACGGAGTTCGAGGTAGATATAGGCGAAGAGGAATGGACAGATTACGATGAAAAGGTGAAGAGCTTGAATCTCCCCATACCCATATTCTAAATCATCTCATAGGCGAAGTTGCCGGTCAGTGTGATGAGAATCAAGGGAAAATGGTCCAAAGCATGATCATATATTGAGAGTTTAGAATGCCGCCTGACATCCATTGCATGCAATGCAATAAACCCTGTGGATTACGATCCTAACCGAGAGGAATAGAAACGAAACATATATACCTTGTTAGAAATGCCTGTTCGATCTTGCATTGTTTCAACATATGTAACACGTTATTGAGGTTAACGTCCACCACGGTCGGGTTTTCCTTGATCGTAGCTTTTCCCTTCCCAGAAATAGCATGGAACGGGTGGAAAGTACCAACGGGAGGATGGAGGTCCGCTCTTTAGACAGGGAAATGACTCGAATTTTGATATAGAAGCCAAGCTTACCTTTGGCTTTGTCCCCTTAAGGAAACACATTTCTTCAATCTCGAATATTTCTCTACGTTGCGAAGGGTTTCAATATGGATTTAATTAACACAAACACCTCAGACACCATATCCAAAGCGCGACTTCGGCTCTGTCTAGCTTCGACAAATCAGCCCCTCGTTCCTCAAAACCTTTTTCAAAGCTCTTGAAGTGCTAGGGAGGAAGGTGTATTAAATATAATTTCGACCGTTCTAAGCACTCACGTCAATGAATGAGCGATAATGACCGCTGAGAGGTGACAGCATGCGAATTGCCCGTTTTTCATCTAAACAAAAAAATTGATTGGTACCGGTCGTCATCGAAAACACAGGCACGGCGACAAGGCTTAACCTTGCAGATATGATAAACCCTCCACTGGTGAAGGATGAATGCCGAAATGAGCCGCTAGACTTTATACCGATTAACAATATTACCTATCTGGGTGTTCAAACGATCCCCTGTCCTCTGGACAGGTAGGTTCACATTTCTTATCCTGCAAGTAGAATGAGGGGTTTCTCGGCCGGCTCTAGAACAGCGACTTACTGCAACATATATCTGTGTATTCTCCCTATGGTTCTCCTGAGTAATCGCTCATACATTCCTTTCATTGTGAAGAATCTGAAGAAACGTTTCGCCCTCCCATCTTGGGGGCTTTGCTTCAACGTCGATAGAGACAAGTTCTATCGCCATGCCACCACCTCTTGCACATCTCTATCCTCCGTCCCATCCATTGGGACAATACCAATGTGACCTTCTGTATGCATTCGCCAGGAATCATGCATATCAACAAACCGGTCATTCCTACCCCACCGCAAACGCCCTCCACCATCAATTTTGACGAGATAGTTCTATCTCTGTTCAATGGAAAGATACCTAAAGTGACATGAGTACAGTGGCAGGATTAGTTGACCCAGCAGTTACGACTTACAAGATCAGTTTACTGTTCGATTACTTTCTAGTAGGGCATCCAAATCTTTGCCACTTCGCCTTTGGGGAATGAGGTGGTGACTCACAGTTGCACTTCAATGATAAACACACGCCTACCAGTGCTCTGTGATATCCGTTGCAGATGACAAGAATGAAAGTTCGATAAACAGAAACACGAGATGTGAGCTATCTCTCTTTTTATTTCTTTTGGATTTTTGGCCGTGTATTGCAACCCGCTATCATGAGGTCGGTGCGAGTTCGCCCATCCGTCAATTCGGAACAGAGTTGTGTATTTGGGCAATATGCCCTCCCAACTTCTCCACCCCAATCGAAGTCGATTGACATCACCTTTCTGTTAGAGGAAGGTAGACGTCCCACTGTAGAGGCACACGGGCTTTCCAGCCGCCAAGGATTGCCCATTTTTCATTTTGTATTTTGTTGATGACCTTAAAAGCCACTCATCGCGACTGTTTTTTATTCTCCTCAGCTCTACTATCGTGAACTAAGATAAGACCGTACTTCTTGATCGTACTGGACTACTTACTGAACGTGGTATAACTATCTAGCGCTGACGTACCGCTAGTTTCTCACACTTTTTCCATCACGAAGTGATTCCGTGAGCCAGGTGGTTTTTGTGGAATGCGTGGGTGAGTTGGATGGTGGAATGGACGGCGAACGGTAGTCAACGGCAACAACCAACCGATCTCCTGGTAGTGACCTGAAGCCGACAATGCCTGATGCGTGCCCACGCGAGGCACAAAACGCATGCAGTTCGATCAAATAGCGACGTGTGGACTTCGGGAAGATTTGCTGCTCAGCTGGGGACGATGCACAGAAGGCGGCAGTCTGCTTCGGGGGGATTGCGCCTAATAGTAATAATCTAGAATTGGATGTCCTCGTTGTCTGCCCCATACTTGGGATATATATATACGGGATCCACAAGCTCGATCATGGGCGGTGCGCCGCTAAAGCGATTCGCATGTCGAGTAGGCGCAACGCACCTGTGAAAGCTGCATACAGAGCGTGTCCGTCAGTGCAGTTGCGACGCACGGACAACGTGTGGGTGAGAGGAACTCCGCGGAAGAGGATATGACAGATGGCCCTCGTACGATGCACATCATGCCAGACTCATCTTGAAAGAATATCTAATTGCAATGTTATTATCATACACGAGTTGTTAGTAAGATTGATAACAACTGATAGAAGTATCGCTCTCACTTTAGCTTCACGCTGAGTGAACTGAGGGAGGTAAGAAGTAGCGAAAAGGTCTATATTTTATAGATAGGTATTGAGGACCTAACGCGTAGGCCAAAGAGGGACCAAAGTGCTCAAGGTACGGCGTTAATTTGAACGAAATAGAAAAGGGAAGTTTCTACCACGCCACCTTATTCCCGTCGTACCCGAAGGCCACTGCGCCCTAAGTAGCCGTTGAACTTCCAGCACATCTGAAGATCCAGACAACCATCAAACCACAGCATGGCACCCTCCAATTTCTAATCACGTCTTCGAAATGTTTGGCTGCAAGTGGGCAACGTAGGAAGTGAGTCCGACCACAGGAATTGCGCAGATCCCGCCCAGATCATCTTGGATCCGACTAAGCAGAATGCTGCACCGAGCGGCCAATTAAAGTGACCGTCGGTGCGAATGCTACCAATGGAGGCGGCATAAGCTTGTTGCCGCTCCCACAAGGGGTGAAATGCGGTTTAGGGCACATAATCCATCTTCCCTCCGTCGCCGTAAATTTGAGTCATTTGTTCCACGAAGGAATTGACAGCCTCCTTCAGCTGCTCCTTACTCAGGTGACGGTCATCATCGCGGCCAGAAAAGAGAGAGATCGTCGGAAACGCGGGGTCACTTGCCAAGGGAGGTAGGGAATGGGATATTCTTTACTCGCTGGCGGGTTTTCTGCTTGTACGTGGAGGAGTCGACTAGGAGGTTCCGCCTCCCATATCTCTATGATGGGCTGTGTGGGATCATCCAGGAGCAAGTCAGATTGGTCGATGGTGGTACGGGGTAGGCATGGATGGATTTGAAGACCTGGAGGACGTAAGAGGTGTTGACTATACAGCGATACTGCCGTGACCTACCTTCCAGGGATTGACGGCATCGACATCTCGAACACGATGCTAGAACCGTTCATGGACCAGTCCCTTCAGTTGATCGCCTGAAATGTGATACCAAAGTTCATATTTGCGTCAGTCATTGTGGTTTCAAAGGATGGTCGTTTGTGGGACGGTGAGAGAATTGTTGGTTGGACTTATATTTCAGGTTTTCCCCCCAAACGGACGCATTCAGCCCGGCGGTCGCCCGTCGTCCAGGAGAGCAACAGCTCGGAGGCATACGTCAAAGCACGTTACGAGAAGCGCTTTAGAAAAATCATGATGAGTGCGCGAACTTACGATATGGATGATCCAAAGATATAACATAGTCGAATTGTGAGACGGACTCGAATAAGAAGAAGTATCAAAGGGGGACGCGAGGGGAAAATGATAAGGATACAGTCCGATCGTCGGGCATTTTCTCTAGAGGGTCCATTGCAAATGAGTAACGATGAGACAGTGAAAATCGCAGAATATGGTTCCCCTGCCACTCCCCAGTGCTTGTCTTTCGTTTATGAAGACCCCAGGTTGTTCTACCCTAAGCGTCGCGGCCACCGTCATCGTTGCACACCATACATGGTCACGTGCCAGGGCCGTTCAAACTAGGGGTGAAAGCAGACATGAACGATGAAGAAGTTGAGGAAAGGGGGGGGACGGATCGTTCTGAATTGGTACATATCTCCTACGCTAGGTGAGTGACGGCGGTCCAAAAAATAGGAATGAAACCAGACGACCAGTTCCATCGGCATTTCCCGAATGCGACAACACCACCCGATGGCCAGCAAGGCTGCGGCGGCTGCTTATCAGCTAAGGCAGTTGTGGCAAGGGCCAGGTACCGTAGCTCCACTAGCGCACGCACCATCACTTTGTCTCATTAAAGGCCTTCTAGTTTATCGGGCTACAGGGTTCTGGCGAATTACTTCGAAGCCGTTCTTATAATTGAACCTGAAACTGCCCCAGCCTTCCTCACAGCGTCTCCATCGGCCGGCCCATTGTGACTGCCCGCACTTAGCAAACTGTTCTCGAACTTCGACCAAGAAGCTCCCAAGGATGACGTTTGCATACTTCCCGGATTTAGGAGGTAGTAGCCAGGACCGTCGTACTCTGGTGACCTCGACGTTCACAGGCCGGATAAAATCAGCCTCATGATTCTCGTGAGTGAAAAATGGTGCGCCGCGTCTTTTGTTGGGAATGGCTGTGTACCAGTCTTGAATCTCCCTGCAGACGTTGGCCACCGCATACTGCGATGAGAAGCCCCAAGTTATCCAAGGGGCCGTAACCGGCGTTGAGAGCTCGGCCGATAATGCCACACTCTATTCGATTTTTTGCCGCCTAGCCTCGGTAATCCCGGTCCCATGCGCACTCTTTGTGGATTGTTCTGGTTCTGCATTTATAGGGAGTAAATCATTGCCCTTGGCTCTGAAGAAATGGGTCCATATGAATGGATTTCATACATTCCGAACATCAGGTGCTATATTAAACTATCGCCAGAAACGCAAGGGAAAGTGGCAAGGATGCCTCCTAAGAATCATGTTGTCTTTGGAGGATGGGACATTTGTGTACCTTCACACCAATGCCAGCGACTGGCCGAAGCCCTTGGGGATACTCAAGAACCAACGGCCGGCCTTGTCACTTTACACCCATGTTTATGTTTAGTGCTCACCGGGATTGACACATCCCGAGACATTCGCAGAATGCATGAATTGACTCGGCAATTCAAAGAAGAATACATCAGGGATGAATGGTTTCTTAGGATCGTCCAGGTGGCTACCGAAGACGTTGATCGGACGCACCGGACAGTTGTTTTGGAACGTTATGTTTCGAAGCCGTTCTCCAAAAAATTTTATCGCCGTTGGTGATGCCTTGATGTGTGAGACCTATAATATCTGTTACCTGTCGTGCCCTGTGCGTTCTGATGCCTCTGCATTTTTGGGGCAAGGTGTTATCAAGGTCTTGAGTAACAGTCAACATAATACGCTCAAAACACCAATGACGAAGCCCCGATTGCCACCTGATTTTTCTCGATCTTCAAGCGTGTTCTTGCGATAGACAATGTTCGAAATGAAGTTGACACTTCAGTGTGTGTACATGTACGATACGGTGGTGAATCGAGTCACCGAGGGATTGAAATGGGTGGGCACACTGGGATTAGATGATAATGCCTGGTCCACGCATCCCATACTCTAGTCAAGGAAGACGGAATCAAGCCACTTTTCATAGTGGGACCCTAACAACACTGTTGGGTTACTGGAGGGACTTGCTTTTACTGTGAAACATGGGACAAGGTTCAATGTTAGTGATATCATGATCTTCCGCCACCGACTTAATGATTGCTCCCATATCTCAATCTGTGTTTGCTATGCAGTAGGAGAGTAGGTATCAGTTCAAGTACAACGTCGAGTGCACTTTACACTCATCTATCCACTAGTTCTAGTCAATGTTGAGTCTCAAATATCTTTGTCTTCTCGTGTGCCTGTCGAGTCCAGGCAGTTCGCATTGGTTACCAACGGTGAGACATCACCATCCTCAAGTCGTGACGAAAGGAAAATTCCACGTTTCCATCGTCGAACAGGGTTATCTGCTGCATTTGCAGTATACTGTCCTAATCAAACATGAAATCAGACTTTCTTTGGAGGTAAACCCGTAATCCTACTGGCTTCGTTGCGTGCTTGTTTATTTCATCCCATTTTGAATTTTGTGGTAACACAGGCATGAGACCGATCTCCAGAACTCCATGATTTCCTTACTCTCCATGATCTCCGCAATATTACCGCAGCTTCCTCTGCTCCCAATGCGTTGGGATTTTTAGCTCTGAGCGAGTCGCCAACCGACAAAGTTGGTCTAGAAGCCATCAGTTACGTCATCATTCAACGCGATATTGGCTTAAGTAATGCAATTCAACTCCGCTACGATGTGGCGGAGTTCAACATGTATGTAATGCATAAACGATAACAGCCAACAATAAGATTTTTAAATGTAAGCCGCGTTTCAATGCAATGGATTTCACACCCTGGGCGCTTAAAATCGTGGGATGAGGTCCCCATGACCCTCCCAACCTAGGTAGGACTCCCTCTACGGCCGCGTATACTCAATTAGTTTGACAAGTCCGCTCCAGTACGTGCTGGCTTGATACCCATGCCTACCGATCTCGCCCACATTCAAGCCGGTCTGTCCCTAACACCCTATCATCCGCCACATACAGCTCGTAGGGTGGGGGCGCAACTCGTCATTCGCATTATATCGTTCTTCAAAAGCAAGAGCGATGGGTTTCGTAAGGGAAGGAAGGTATAGAATATATGTGATTGGCGATCTGCAGTTTCCGGGGGCCCATCCACCGAACTTGTGCTTCTTCCCCCTTCTGACTTTATTTGGCGGGTATTCAAGCTCCTCCGATTCCCAATTCAGCCCTCCCCCTCTCCAGAAGACCGTACCTTCTATCTGCCAATAGGATAGGAGAAACACAAGGAGTGAAAAGCAGGTTGTTAGCTTTTGAGCAGTATCGCAAGTCAATTGCCAAGACGGAGTGAGAACGTTGTCATAAATGGACACTGTACCACAAGTGAGCCCGTCTCGGGGGATTGTCATTGCTGCGACTGAAGGTTCCAAAGTGCGATTCAGCTGACAGCTGCTGCGTGAAGAGGCATGGAAGACTTTTATCATGTCTAGATCGTCCCTGTTACTGAAGGCCCATTTCAATTGTAGTAACTGCATGCGAGCCACGCTCTTCTTACGAACGTTCATAACATTTTCCCAAAATCCCCCGCTGTTGGGTGGATACATTTGCAGTCCGGGATCTCAGTTCCAATTGCCATATCGAGCCCTATTTCTCTGCATCGCCCTTTCGCCTGAGATCGCTCTCCAATATTGATACTGTGTCTCTTCAGTCGCGAACTCACCTCGCCCGCGCACTCAGCGGCCATCCCAACGCTCCACTCGCAGCAACGATGCTCGACTGAGCTCTATCTGCTCGAGCTACCACTCAGTGATCGTCGTTGCATCTTAAATGTTTGGTCACCTGGGGAGCAGCTCCTTGTCATTGCGGATTTTTGTACGTACCATCACTTGTTTGCGATATGCTGAAGGGAGAGTTCAGTACTGGTACTGATAGTGCAAATGCTCTTGTGCTTGCAGAAGCACGAACACAGGGCATGCAAATTGAATTGGATGAGCGACGGCAATCAAACGTTTTAGTTACTTATCTACCTCTCAGTTGGCACTGAATGCATGTATTATTTGCTCGTGCCTAGATCTTTATGAAGACAAAGGTATGCGCAACGTCACAAGTCCGAAACTGAGTGGTTTTCTGACAACTCATCGGTTGCCTGCGGCTTCATAGCACGGAGATTTGTGGGTAGAAAACGGTGGGTTTCCATGCCGCACGTCTTATCACGTTGCGCAAAACGACCCAAATCATGTCTCAGGCACCATATGGTGCGTCGCCAGGTTGAAACCCGATTTAGTATAGGGATGGATGAATTCACCCGGATTCGGCCCAATAGAGCTGAGGATTCGAACCCCCCCGTTCTAGTCCGTTCAGTGTGGCGGTCTGCAAACGAGCCCAAGAGCTCGAAACCGGAGTTGCGTCACGGAGAAGTCTTTCCCGGAGTGACCGATTAGCCAATTCATCGACACGTCCAACGGTGACAGGATTCCAAATACAACATTCTCAACCGTCAGTCACGAGGCTGAAGCCAACCGGGGTTGAGTGCAGAGATAGACGGAGACAGCAGTCTGGAGCAGTGGTCATTAGAAAACTCGAGTCATTAATAAATCAAGTCGAGAGAAGGTACATAGTATTCCAGTGCATGGGTGAGCGTTGACCACCAGGTGTGGGAGAGTCGGAGGACGATTGCAAGGAAAGTCTCTATCGCGAAGGAATACCTGCTCCCACATGCTACCGAAAACATGGTTGTTTGATCGAGTAGTTAATGGTGATAAGTGCAAGCCTAGAGTTGGTGCGGTTCGGTCAGGGCTAGATTTCACCCACCACTTTGCTGAGCATGAAAAATCTGCAGATCTGATGTGCGCGCTGAATCAGCAACTGGCATAAAACCCTCAGCCAGTCTAGCCTTGAATCCCAGATGATAACGCGGCTGGAGAGGGGTTTGTTTAGATTCTATCAAAACGAATACGCTGAACATTGATTGGCAACATTTCATGGCTCGTGGTAGATAGTGCCCTACAGACAATTCAAATCGTCTAATAAAGCAATGCAAGGGAGTCTGGGCCCTTGTTCCCTCTGCTGGTGGACATTGATCATACCGCTGATTCACACTTTCAGCAAGACACGATCGGCAGCCAATCTATCGGAAGGTTCAAAGCAAAAATAGATGATGTCATCACCAGCATCCCATTGGTGCATATGGTTTTCCCTTAAGTGTACTAGGCCCCAGGGATCATTGAAACAGGCGATAGAGGACTAAAAGCAATGTCAGAAGCCACGAAATTGTTTTCTGCGATGTTTCTGTTTGCATCAATTCGCCACGCGGTCCGAGGTAGCGGTGGTGAGACAGAAGAGCAGAGATAGACTCTATCTGAGCGCACAATACACAGGAGTACAAAGGGTTATGGCCATGCCAGTGATGATGGTGGCGGCCGGGGAACCGCCGGACCGTGTAAACAACTGTCAATAACCTCTCGTCGGTTGTTCCACTGTGAATGGGGCGAAGTTGTTGCACTTGTGAAAGGGTGGAACGGGTTGTGCGGTGGATGGAGCCCGACGATTTTCTTTTTCCCTGAATTAATAGGTGGCTCCAAACTCACCCGAAATCCCTTCCTTTCCAGGATAAATCAACCTCGTTTTGTACGAAGACCCCTTTGCAGTTGTTTTCACGCCGACCCTATCAGACCCTTCTTCTTCAGTCGCGGCTTCTTTTGCTAATTTTCTCCGGTGCGGACCAACACCTGTCTTGATGGCTGGCGCTCGTACACAAGCTATCGGTGGGAAGGATGCACGCAGCTGGTGAATTTCACAGCAGAACACAATCTGGTTGCGTCAGTTGTATCTCGATTTCAATTGAGATATGGGTGAATATCAACCACACGCCTTATTTTCGCAAGCCAGGCCAGCCGGAATCCTGACATCTTGAGGGCACGGAGCGTGAGTGCGCTGGTGGCACGCTCGAACTCTTTGCTTCTAGACCACACTTCCCGGGTTTCGCGCTCTGCTGAAAGAGCCTTTTGGGTGAGACGTTCTCCGCGAGACCTTCCTAGACGGGAATTAGCTCTTGCAGACGTTCATGCAAGCCAGGGCATTGTTCCATGATCATTCGACATGATCGTTATCGCGATTATAATCCTCTGGTTGATGGAATAGCTAACGCAAGTTGTTCAGTCTTAAAAGGCCCTCAAAAGTTGCGTTTGGGATTGTCCCTCATCCTGCCATCCTTCAGTGCTTTGTACCAACACCAATTGGGAGCAGATATGAGCGAGAATTCTCCTGCGGCAAATCGTCAGGGCTCCCAGTCGCGTCGCGAGAAGGCCCTCACCAAACCCCTCACAGTGCATGTCAACGGCACAGGCTCAGCCTCGACTTCGCCGGAAGGAAGGATCAGGATCACTAGCACTCGTCAACCTGATGCTGATGGCCACAGGATTCCTTCCGTGCTGAGGGCACCCCCTTCCCCCACGTCCCCTGTCAGAACCCCCCGCTCTTTGACGGCCCATAACTTGCCTGGTAAGTGTTTGTCGTGTGGAGTTTATTCTAGTTGATGAACCCTGTACCAGATCTAACGTTCGACGCCACGAGAACCTACCCCGTAGCCCCGAGCGGTGACGAACTCTTTGCCTCCTTCCCAGCTCCGTCTCCCCACGGTTCTTCCGTCCCTATCATTTCTTCTGGCCAAGGTCACACTCTCCCACCATCTCAAGTTTTTAGAGGCGAGGAGCGATCCTTCCTCGGTTCTCCACCATCATCCCCAAATCATCATTCTGCCCCGCCTTCCCACTCCCATTAATGGTCGAGGATCCTGTTCTGCTAATATTATTATCCTTACCTCGGTCGACATCACATATGGGAAGAGAAAATGCTCTTAATCGTAAGAGCTATTTGGTGTTGAGACATCCATAAGAATAGCGGAGTTTTTTGTTCACTTAGAAGGGACATTTTGTAGAAGTCATTATGTAGAAGTCATTTCGTCTGATTCCACTGTCCTAGCTAGACATGTATTTACACCCCCACCGCCTGGCGCTTATCCAAGTCCATTAGTTCCCTCATCGCTAATATGCGGTTGGCCAATGCCGACACATTTGCCTCGCCGAGTATGACTTCGTGCGAACATTCCACACCAAAAGCGGCATTGATGCAAACTGCTATTCTCTTTGCTTGGGCTTCAGACCAGAATCTGAAGTCATCATCCGATTCCACACGATCGTTGTCTCCGGTACGCCGAGACCTGGTCGCAGAGGCTGGAAGTAAAGATGGATCGGAGTCCAGACACCAGGGGATGATACGGAGCAAGCATGATCGCACTGAATCGAAGTCCATCCCATCTGGGCGTGTCACTAAGGTTGAATGCACTTATCAGACCGTTGAAAATTAGGGCTTTCATGAAGACGGACCGTATATCTCTACAGGTGGGGCAGTTTTCATGACGTTGTATTTCTTGTCGTGGTGATAACGAATCTGAACTTGGATTCAATGGGGTTGCCGAAAAGGTACTCGATTTTCCACACCTCATACAACCCGACGTGCCAAGGAAGTTTGCTGCCATTGAACTCGACCACACCATTATCAGTTTCTGGGCGTGTCACCTGGTCCGGAGAGATGGGGGAATTGCCCTCCCACTCCTCATCATGGACCGGAAGCCAAGACAAGGAAACCGTGTTGGTTACACGTTTATCTTTATTAGCGCCAGCCTTTCGATATATCGCTCAGCGCCAGTGAACGGCAGGATTTGTGAAGAAAAAGCGAACCCTGTACATTCCAATCCAATCTTTCCGCGAGTGGTTCAAAGGTGCTCGCCAAGTTAATCGGATGGGCTCTCCTAAGTGGAAACGTAGAGGTTTTCGATCAAAGAAAAGCTCGTATTTTGATACATCTAGTGAGGAAAGATCCTGCGCCAGCGGACTTCTTGAGGGTCAAATATTTGCTTAAACAGCAGCAGCCAAGTGTCCACTTACGTGATGACAAGTTTCTCGGCGGATTGCTGAAGCAAAACTTTTGCCTCTTGAACTACCTCAGAAACTCGGGGGCGCGCTAGTTCTCCGGTCAGCCACGTTCAAAGGACAACCAGAATGTTACTCACATTTGGTAAAGAACTCCTCCAATACATCTGTGTAATCCTCATAGACCTTGTCAATGGTGCCCCGGAACTCCTTTGCGACGTTTTTGATAGTGGGTGCATAATGACGTCCAGGGCCGCGCTCCAAAGCCACGGCGTTTTTGATTGCAAGAAGTTTGATCGTCTTCGTAAGACCGGCCTCCTTCCGAATCGAAGGCCCGTACACCTTGCGCATGTGCGGACTACCGAGTCGTCAGCAAAGTTCCGCCCTGTTACGCAGAACGAGGGGTGCTCACTCCTCAACATTGCTTAAAAACCACCAATGTGAGGCTGTAGATATTACCGCAAGAGCAAAAACCAGCTTGCTGCCACTGATTAAGGCCATTCCGAAGAGTGCTGCGCCACTCATAGTTTTTTCTGGGTTGTTCAAATAACTGAGCCACGAAAGATAAGAGTTACAGATCAAGTACACCAATGATATTGCTCACCGATAGATACCAGTATAATCGAGTGTGGCTGGGTAGTCATCAATAAAGAAATCTCCGAAAAACCATCCTGTTGGAAGTGGTGAGAACTTGCTCGCGCCTAACTCGTGTAGAATTGCAACAGCGTACCAAAGACACCAAGTACATCGTAGGATTGGCTGGCTGTCCAACCATGCAACGCGATTAGCATCTGCAATGTTGTCAAACGGAGATCCCTGGAATATACTGAGGCGACAGGCCACGCACCGCTCCAAGTATATGACGAAGCAAACCATCCCCATGGGACCAAGTTTGCGGCGGAGCGTATGTCTTCCATGCAAGGCCAATAAAAGATGCTGTGAAACGGAATTATTAATTTTTGATTGCGTTAAGGCCTCACGTAGCTACTACTTACCGTAGGTCATGCACAAACTCAAGTTGTATAACCCTTTCCAGTTGGTGAACGCTTCTTCTAACGCTGATTGTTTCACATCCTCGCTGTGATAGACGTAGTGTTTGATAAAATGTTTCACATAAGCCTTACGTTCACTCTGGCTTCTCAGGAGAGAGCCGAGGCCGAAAGAATGGAAAATACGCCAGACAAGAGCGTGAACAAAGTGTACTGCGAGAGTACTAGCCGGAGATAGGGAAGGAGTGATGGCACTCCCGACAGCATAGAAAATGAGTAGAATAAGTTGGACGTCGCCAGCCCTAACATAATGAGTGCTTCCGCAGACATCTCGTGTTGAAGCTCAGATCCTTACCTCAATACGTCGATATTGTGGAATCCGATAGGATCCTTCCTGAAGTAGCGGGTAAGCAGATCATGTTGCGAGAAAGATTGCCGCCGCGCACGGCTGCGTCTGGCTTTGGAAGGGGGAGAGCGAGAGATGCTGTTCGGCAAAGGTGACTGTCTACCGATGCCGAGCCGGTCGGAACGCCCAGAACGTGAAGGAACAGCATCTTCACATTCAGCTTCGGTTTCTGTGTGGTCATCCGTATCTGTGGATGTTTCGACCTCGGTCACTGACTCATCGGCTTCATTGTTCAGCGAAAAGATTTCAGAGGCACCAAGGCCTGAAAGCTGCTCAAGGCCTGGCACTGTAGGAGTGTTGGCCTCAGTTTCCACCGCGTCCGTGTCAAGTGGTGGTGGTGTCCGTAATGACATCAGTTTTCTTTGGCCGTACATCCTCTCAATATCTATATGGGCGGAGGGGAACAACGTGAAAAAAACGTAATTAATGAAGAAGTTAACTTACGAGGGTTTTCAAAGAAAACCAGAAAGCCGAACTGGGCGGCATGACACGCCAAGCTGGCAAACAAAACAGCATAGCTGCCGGCAATCATTGACAATCCGTAATACCCCGCGTATCCTGGATGGGAGATAGTCGATAGAAGCCACCAAACATAAACACGATCATGACGCTTACCGACTGAGTACATAGGATGAGGCGCCATCTCGAAGACGCCGTCAAATACCAATGCGCCCCGCTCAAAGAAGCAATCACCCCAATACCAGCCGTAGTCTTTCACGACATGATGCGCTTCGGTCTTCACCCAAAGGTTGAATGCGATGAGCGTGAGACCACCAGCCCATCTCAAGATGTGCATCCATATCGAAAGCCCTTCAGGCAGGCGGAAACAGGTAAATGCAAAAAGCGTGTAAGAAAGGAAATCACTTGAAAGAGGAACGAAGGGATTAGTCGAATAACCAACTAAAGTAGAAAACATCACAAACTTCATTAAGATGACATCAACGAGTTGACGGAAAAGAAGCCATGCATTGTACTCAATTGGCAAAGACTTTGACCAAGCTCTGATTCAGCTATCCATGCAAAAGAAAGAACGGATCCAGTAAGCTCACATCGAACGAATAGTCTTTCCCCATCTTCCCCTGTAGTTGATTACGGATCCATGAATATATTAAGGGACGCTTGTTCTCGTCAAGCCAGCCGCGTTTTTGCACTTCGCGAACAATCCACCGTTTCTTGCTCTGTTTTGTCAAAATCCACCCAAGCCCAAGATCATAAGCACATCTCCAGAATGCAAAATAGAACATAAAAAATGCGCGGGCAGTGGTTCTTGGAAGTGAAAAGAAAAGTAGGACTTGCAACGCCAATAGAGACAAATTGAAGAGGTCTAGATGTGATTTTGGATGAGTTGGGTAAAATAGATTGGTCAAGACGTCGTATGTGGTAGGAACAGGGAACACTAGAAACGGAGTTGACAATAAATTGAAGATACTTATTGACGGTTGCGTGAAATGGAAGCTTCTCACCGACGCCAGCAGGAGTCTTGCCCCATACGACCTCCTCCGTCAGCTTATCCACATCGCATTCTTGTTTCTCCGACAGCAATGAGCTTTGGGCGCGCTGTCGTAAGACAGTGTCTTCTGACAGTTCACTCATCTATAGCCAACTCGTGTTCGGAGGCGCTGGGATAATTCAACGGGAAAACTTCAATAGCTTACGTCAGCGTCAAGCGCGAAATACGCAATTCGGAACTGAGGTGCGGAGGGTTACTTGGTTAGATGGAAGGCACTGAGGTATGTTTTAGCCAGAAAAATGAACGCGCGGCTCCTTATAATGGCGGAGAAGTCCACGTGTAAAGCGTGCGCCTTGTGTTCGGTTTAGCTCCGATCCCTTAATCCAAACAGGGTAAAGATACATCTTCCAGGGATATTGTACAAGAGAAGAGGGACGAGAATAAAAGGTGGGGAATGCAAGACTGATGAAATCACGCCATATCATGCAGGAACAGACATCAAAGCCATCATCCTCGGTGTGTCCGGGGCGGTACTTGGGGCAACAGGCCCGGTCTTCCCGACCCTACTCGCTTGTCGCTTCAGAGAACCAGACCCAGAGAGCCCAGATTCACTGGGTCCAACACCAAATAATCCAAGCGAGTTGGGCGATGACCCGTCAACAGCTTCGTCGGGGGGCGAATAAGGAGTTGTAAGTGAAGCAGGCTGCTTTGGGGACGATTCAGCGGACTGAGGCTCTGAAGACTATAATAACATGTAAGTGCAGCACTATCATAGAGAAAGATAAAGATGCGCACTGGAATTGGCATTGGGGGTCGAAACGGCGTCTGAATTTTTCTCGACGTACTTGAGGAATGACTCCTTACCAGAGGCTGCGTTAATGAATTTATGCGAGGTTCGGGAATCGCACTGGGGACAATCTTCGCTGTTTGTTGCGATTCTGAAGTTGTTCGATCATCTTGTGGGGTCTCGGTTGCGGATGATATTTCCGGTTGCCCATTAAAATGACCTAGGTTCAGTCCCGAAAACTCAGTTTCAATCTTTCCGAGAGGAAGTGCAGATGGCTGAGGGAAGTTATTCGCCCACATGCTCCGAGTCTCCGGAGACGTTGGTGTATACCGGCCAACAGCGGGAGGAGCAGTGTCAATAGAGCCTGGATGAGCAAGAGGATCCAGAGATTCAGTCTTCAAACCAAATGGTCCCGGGGTGGAAGCATGGGAAAGAGCAGGATGGGCAGGCCCCTTTTCAGCGACGTCCACATTGCTGGCATTGGACGGAGTAACTATAGATCGAGCCTGTGACGTGTGAACTGGATGAAGATATAAAGGAATACATGAGGCAGCACTACCTTGTGTGAACGTCCGGTGATTGATTGAGGAGGCGGCCCAAATTCAATCGGGACCGGTATTCCAGGAATCGTTTTCGAAGACTTGCCATCTTCCGAGGCCGTCTCCGAATTCGGAAGCAGTTTACTCTTCCACATCGATCTTCCGGATGGAGTATCCGTCGGCGGCGCATGAACGCGGTGCTCCACATGCTGCTGAGCCGACACCGACTGCTGCTTCGAAGGAGACAAGGGGACAAAATTGAAGGTGAGGCGCATTTTCGAAGTGCGAGAACTGGGCGCTCCACCTACCACAGACTGACGTCCGGTGTGGTGAGATCCCGAGCCCGAGCGCACAGACGCATTATCGTCTGGGACGGGCTCAAGGGCAACGTGCTGTTCTGGAGTGTCTGAAGCTATGTTCCACCCTAACGATGTGATTAAATCGGCTTCTTCAGGCAAAGCCGGGCCCCTGGCAATGTTCGATATTCGGTTCTAGCGAAAAATTAGAAAAAGTTATATGATCTCGAACGGACACAGGGTGTATACCTTCTCGGAAGAATTCGAACGTGGTGTGTGAGTTGGCCTTACGAACGGTGTGGCAGCAGTGGAGACACCACTTTCAGACAAAGGCAAAGGGGTTTTCTTCCAAGCCGACTCTCCGGTTTTTGCCTCTGACGCATCGTCCTTCCCACATGATGGGGCTCGCGAACTTGGGACCTTCAAAACGAGATATTGCAAACTAATGCGAAATTAAAAGAACCCTCACTTACAGTCGTGTTGAAGAACCGGGACGCTGGGACCACTTCTGGAGTTTCAATAGTAGGTGCATTGCTCGATTTGGTCATGTGCATTCCGTACTTTCCTTTGGTGACGCTCGCTGGAGTACTTCCCAAGTTTTCCGGAGGAGTTTGCGTTCCATCAACACCGGGACTCTAAAGAAAGAAATTGTCCGTTGAAATACCCCAACCATTGGGGGGAGAAAAATGGACAGACCCTCTCAATAACCGTCGAAGACCAAGATTGCGTGGAGCCAACTACCGATGTCCGACCAACTTCAGAGGGAGGCAAAGGTGCTTTCTTCCAAGCAGAAGTGGCTGCGCTCTCCCCACCTACCCTTGAAGCAACATCGTCCGCCTTCGATATTACATCGCTCCTCTTTGATGCAGCATCGTCCTTCGACATCGTATCATCCTTCCTCGATGCCACATCGTTTGCTCTCGCCGTCGGTGTGGCTATGGATGCACTCTCCCTCCTCCCATTTATCGTCCTTACCGACATGGCGGGAGTGCTCTGAACGATCTCCTGCCTTTCAAACGGCGAAGGGGCCCTGGGTATTGTAGACGTCTCAACGGGATCGCTCGTGTGTAGATGTGTTAAATTTGGTCTTCTGAAGGTGCTGGGTGTGCTGACGATCGGGGGGATCATATCTTGCAATGGCGTATCGCCAAACCTACTGGAACGGCGCCTCCATGAACTTGATACGCTAACACCGTCCTTATCATCATCGATGTTGTCGTCGACATCAGCTTTCTCTTTTGTGACGGAGGCCTCAATCGGGACGGGATTCGAGATAGAGCGTGGTAGTGGATGAACCGACTGAATTGGGACAGCCGATGTTTGAGGGGTAGCATGCTGGTGAACAACTGGTGGAGAATGTGGCCCTTTTGGTACCATGAATTGGCTGGGTGGACCTTCTGGAGATCGTATCCCTGCTGGACCCTATGTCGTTATCATGCTCAAATTAATTGCTAATCCGTGTCCAATATTCATTTCGGAAAGACTTGCTCACCGACGATACACGCGCTCCCGCGCCGCGAGTCGCGTCAGCTGACCCGCTGCCTCTCTGCGGCAGTGATCCCTCATGGTGAGCGGAAGGATGTTCATTGGAAGTGCCCTATAAGTAGGGCGAAAAGAGGACATTTCGTCAATCGCCTTTGATCTACACCAAATAAAGTGACTGATAAACAAACGCACAAGTATCTTGTCCGCACGCGTGTGCCGATCTTCGACACTGGGCCGTCGAGCCGACAAATTCGTCTTCATACTCTCTACTCTTGTCCGGCTGATATTGCTTGCCACTGGGACGATGGCATTAGGACTACTGTTGACTGGCTTGTTTGGAGGCGGATGCGGGTGAGGTTTCTACATGGGGTGATGACCAGGGTTCAGTGCCCGATAGTAATAATGATAGGTCAACGCACCATCGCAGGATTCAAACGTCTAGTCTCTTCCCACATAACGGTAGTGCGATTGTCCTCATCTTCAGAGTGTTCTAGCTCCTTGGTCATGTTGCGAAACGAGGGCCGTCGACGCACAGCCCCATCCTGTGGAGGCAGATTCTCTACTTCCAGTTGGATATGCGAGCCAGAAATGTTGATAGAGGTGCCATTAGCGGTAGTAATATTGATGGTGCTGAATACAGTAGTGGTCGTTGGTGGTCGCGGTTCAAGACAGCATCAGATAAGAGCTGAATGTTGTGCTAATGATCTACCTTGTGTGTTCGGGACGAAGGGGTGCGTTAGGCCCGCGGGTATGAGGACCAGTCACAGTGCTCACGAAGCGGGACATGAAGATATCGCTTAATCAAAACAAAGTAGATACGAACGGGAAGCAACGTAGAGCTGAGAGAACCAGGGGCGGGAATGAAAGGAAAACGGAGCACAGGAGAGGAGACAGGAAGTTGAAGCGACAGAGGGAAGACGACAAGAAGGGGAAGGAGCGGAAAACAGGCAAGGTGCGTGAATACAACGTGGGCGTGGTATATATACATATGGGTTCAAGACAAACTCTAATGCCGACTGAGGATGTTTGAATGTTGGGATAACAAACACAGGAGCATGGTTGGAACCACAACCTCAAGTCCCTGCCTGGATGTCTGAAGTTGACCTGAAATTCAACTAATACAACCACAACCCTTTCTAATGCAATAAGGATTTGCATTCCAGACGAACCGAGCAAGGAACCAGCCTGAATAAGGAAGCGAGCATCGAGGCCGACACGAGGCATAACTCGTGGCCACCGCGGTGGGCCTCGCCGGTGCATCAGGATAAAACACATTGTGATAGGATTTAGCGCCCGGTCAAATGCAAATCTTAGTTTGCCAATAATCGATCAAAAATACAACAGCAAGATAATAACCACAGAAGGCGAAGAACAAGACATCGCAATTATAAGCTCTATTGGGAGGATTTAAGCCGGTCTCGACTGTACACGACAAAATCATCAATTATCGAAGGCCAAGCAGCTATGTTCAGAAGAGAAATCGGTGACTATGAGCCATCGCCATACGGCAGACGATAGAGGCCGAACGTACCATCCTCATCATAGTTCTCGAACCGGCTGTCTATCGACCTTATAAACTCGTAGAACTAGTTCGAGAGAACCATGGTGATGGGTCACGATAAGCGTTCAGACATCTCTCCAATCGGAAATATTGCGCACTCACCATGTTCCAGACATCCTTGCTGATTCCTTTGCCCCCTTTAGCATCTAAGAACTCGAACCACCAACCATTATGGTCCGATTTCCATCCATCCTCGCGCCTCAGCGCATCGCCTTCAAGGCCAATCGGCAGTAACATTGCCCAGAATGCTTTGGCATTCTCGACTGGAATACTCCGCTGACCGAGGGCTTTCGCAAAGTCGAAAGCGTATGTGTAAATGATTTTGAAGTACGCAGGTTCGCTCGACAACCGCGACCGCAACGAAGGGAGGACCTTCCTCATAGACTCCAGGGAGTCGCATTTGAGATTCTTCCATCCGTCCACCCATCCTGTCCGTGTGAATTCGCCCATCGATTTCGATTGCAATTCATGTGAGACAGCGAGAATTACCGCATCCTCCAAATCAAGACCAACATCTCCACAGAAGTTCATAGTGCCTTCGACCGTGATGCTATCCCCATCTTCATCGTCTACAGGAGTAAAAGGATCACAATGAGCACGCGATGATCGAACAATTGTGATCACACGAACAGGTGCCGAAGGGAGTTTCGGATGTACGAACCGGACACACCTTTGTATTTGTCAAATATATCTCCAAGCTTCTTTGCTGACGATTGCGCGTCCTTATTAGTATTTCCAGTCAGTGCAGCAAGCGCTGCCGGGTCATTGTACAACCCGTCAAGAGCGGCTTCGAGCCGGTAATTATGCTTCTTCAAGTATTTAACGGCGTCTGCTTGGCTGTAAGAATACGTAGATGCCGCATGAATGTTGATGTGAATCATCGGAAGAGCGATTTAGCTCGCTAGCCAGGACGGCGCTAAGGCAGTGAGACGAATTCATACTTACCCAGCACCGGTGACTTGACAAAACTGTGTCACTAGATTATCCTTACGATTTTGCTCCTGTCGCGCTTTCGAAGACTGACCGCCAAACAGGAACGACATCCAAACGCGAGACGGAAACGATCAAGTAAATGCCAACGCCGCAGATTAAAAAGGTAGCGCCGGAGGAAGAACGAAAGGGGCAATGTCAATTTCCGAGCTGTTCAAAGAGGATAAGGCACGAGTCACCATGGAGAGAAAATAGGCGATAGGGAGTAAGAAGAGGAGGAGAGTGAGGAACGTCGCGGAACGTACAAGCAGAGAGGACCCAACCCCCCTGAAAAGAGTGCTTCCCCCTCTGTTGGACCGTATGGTGGAATGGCACGAAAGGCGTGGTCAGTCTGCCGCGCAACAACACACCACAACAGGAAGGAACGCAAGAGTGTTACGTAAGGTAGACAACCTTCTGCAGGCATCCATGAATTTCCGCAAAACACGAGATGGGAGCACTAATACAAGAGCGTTATAATTCACCATTGCCACAGGAGGGGCGGACAGAATATGGAATTAGGCAGATCTAAAGGAGCAACGCATGCAAACTTAGTCTGGACCACCAACATCAGTTCCGCTAACTCGAACGCGAATGCTCAGGGGAAACGGTGTAATGACGTTTGCAGAATGGATGGGCGGTACAACAGAACGCCCCTTTTCTGACGAGGTTTTATTCAAGATGGTCTTCAATATTTCGGACAATTCCCCGGGCAGTGGATCCATGATCTCGCGACGTTCTAAGTTGTTTCGATCAAATTCGATGGATAACATATTTTGAGTGTTTGAACTCCCACCTTTATCGTTCCGAGGCACTCGGATAGTAGTATTAATGGTCCTGTATTCAACAACTTCTCACCGGACGCAGCAACGAGGAGCCATTGAACCGCTTACCAAACCTCCCATGGGACATATTCCTATATATTAATTAGAATATTCATCACGAAATATTGCACAACCGATGGCTCACCTCTGTCATCGAGAACCATTGTCGCTTTTCCCTTTTTTCGGAAAACGTTATAATCAGCTGTCCAAGCAAATCAACCAAAGCAGCCTCAATTCAAGTCACCAAAGAATTACCTCGCCGCTCCGGGGAGATGCAGTTGACAGTCCGCTGGAATCAATTGTCTTCCAAAAAAGGTCAACCTTATCGTTTATTTTGCGTTCGATATCAGAATCAGTTATTCCAGGCTAGAGTCACCGTTATTCCCACTAGTATGATTCGCCCATGGAACAGTGCATGAAGAACCCACGAAAGTTATGTCTAAGACTTCAATACAGCGAGGCTGAACTGTTCCAAACAAACGATGAAAAAGAATCGCGTGCAGAAGGGCCCTCAATACGTCTCGAGTCACTGCGCGATCCAATGTCTAGACACACTTTCAGATCCCTCCTGTGCATATTAGCCACCATGGGCGCTCGGGCTTACTAGATCGATCTTGATGTCATGGACTGCATCCATGGAGACAAAACGCGGGGGGTCGTCGGAGCCGCGCAATTACTGTCACCTGTCACGCATTTGAAATGTAATGTACATGCATACTAAACTCAAATGGATCGTCTGTTTGCCGCTAGCTAAAATACTCTGATAGGGGTTGCTGATCCCACGGGGAATCAATAACACAAGCAGTTCTCTTTGTAATGTCCGTGTTCTCAATATCCCATTGTTGAACCTCCTCTTCTTATCGAGTTATCTACAGGCTGCGAGATATCAGGGCCAAAACTAGTGAAACACCAGCTATTTTCATCTAGCGCAAATTCACCATTCGTCCCAGAGATACCGCCCAAGCCTCAAGGCCGTTCGGCATATTTTCAATGGGATTCAATGACCATGACGACGGGGAGTTGTCGATGAAGGGGCGATACGAGGCGGAAGGCGTCGGATGAGCTGGGGCGAATGCCCTATCGTTGATCAGCATAAGTGCGATAGTGCAGCACCTGCGGTACAACGCCTGACGGTGTTGCCGTGTCGTACCCAGGTGAGCAATTCAACAATGTATGCTAATACTAGGAGTACTTAATGAGCTGTATCGTACCCAGTCGTAAAACGACGGGGACGCGAAGACAGCCTGGTGCCAAAACACATAGGATTGTACTTCACTACATCACTGCCTTATTATATTGCGGATGCGGTAATGGTGCCCCAGCCACGCCACTATTTGCGCTTAACCTCACGGCCCTGGGACCCAGGCTTCTCGACAGTCTCTGGGTCATCGTCACCCGGTGCAGAAAGTCGCTGTTTCTCAATGCCTTCAACCGCTGCCCGTCCGCTAGAAGCTAGCTGACGAGACTGATGAGGAGACATCTTCAGATTACTTATAGTACATTAGATTGCATTGGTGCAAGACCGCTTTCAAAATCAGACAACTTCAGGCATTCCCACATAAAAGTGCCATGGCGCGCCCATGAGGGCCGCAAGCAAATAAACATCCTTGCTTATCCAATGTTGGATGGTTCCAATGGCTGCGACTGATCGCCGCTTGTTTGAGAGCTGGCTGCCGCACACACATTGCAGACGGGATATGCTAGAAACCTCACGGGCGCGATGCCATTTGAACCATTATTCGAGTCATGATTGACTAGGTCTGGGTGGAGGTCAGGTCACTTCCAGGAAGGAGAGTCTGGGGATACGAACCGCCGGCCCGAGCAGGAGCAGTAGCAGCATTTCCCTGATGGTCGTTGCGCAGCTCGCCGGCACTACAAACAGGCTAGGGGGTTTTCATCAACAATCGGGTCGTCAAGCAAAGATTGTTCACGCATACACAGACAATAGACACAACAGTCGCGGTGGCATGCTGCTGGTTCGCCTCGACTCCATAGGTGCGAAAACTCTGAACAGTGGGAGGAAGGGCGAGAGAGGGATTTCGTTGACGAAGAGGCACATCCCCCTCAAATTAATTTTATACAAGTCCATGGTGTTGCGTAGGTCTGGTTTAGGAAAACACAGGCAGACGTACTAATCATGATCCAACAAATTGATTCTAATACGAAATGCTAGTGAGTGAAACAGCCCTCAGGCTGCGCAGCAGCATTCCCAACTCTTTCCTAAAGTTAGCCAAGAGACAACGTGAAGGCAGCACGGCAGCACTCGCGACTCATTCCTAAAGTAGTCAAGAAACAACATGGTGATAGAGTCACCACTCCATCGTGTGACGTCAAAGGAACACAGGCTGAATCTCAGATACTGGTGTTGGAAACGTGCACGCAAACACAACTTCGCTGGATTGAGCGCCTATTTTTCCGAGTTGTCTAGTGTTCTACCGAGTCCGGCATGTAAACACGGGAGGTTTCGTTCCGCTCATTAATATAGCGGTTCCGAGAGGCCTCGGGAATGGCAAATAAATCGCAATCGGCGGCAAGATCGGCGCTGGCCACAAGTCCCACAACGGTACGAAATTGACTGTAGGTTGTGTAATGGTCGGTCGGAGCCTCTTTCGTCACGAAAACGTGTAGCCCTATGACGGGCTCGGACAAGTGACCTGGCCCAGTATGGACCTGTGTTATATTGTTATAGAAGGTATTGCTAACCTAGTGCATGTCTTATAATCAGTGGTGATCTTACACCACGCATCCAGAAAACGGACCTATGACGCGGTCACTGCGTTCGCCGCTTAATTCGCACGTCATTGTTACGCGTACATTTTGGCGGGTGGGCCTTGACGGCAGAACGGTGTCCTAAGGCAACGCCATCTTCGGCATGAAGAATCTGGTAACCTGTCGAGTAGGCTAGCCTCATCGCACTGCCCTCGAGGGGCACAAACATCCCCGACTTCATCTAGCTTACAATGCAGTTGTGAACGTCCCGGTAGTGACGCCATGCTCATGAAAGCCCCGTAACAGAGATCGTTCCTTTCGACAATGTTGAGTCCATTACTCCCTACGTCATCCATAAAGTTTTTAAATGGGGGTGCATGGGACGCTGCTGCTGCTCATCGTGCGCACGAACACGCGGCCCAGAGTTTGAATGGAAGTCTCGCAATATGCTTCCAGCTCCTAGGATCTGCAGAGATTGTGAAATGCAAACCCTGTTATTGTGGTGACTAGTAGTTAATTGACTTGCACAACAAGGTGCTTGCGAAAGCACTCGAACGTGCGGAAGAGGCATAGTTTGCAAACACGACTCTTATGATGCGATGAATTGGGCAACTCAATTCAATTTATCGCGTTCAGTCTGCGAAACATTACTGAGGCAACCCCCCAGGGAAGACCAACCCGAGGACCTCGTAACAGGAGCCACACACCAGCAATTTCACTATGTATTGACATCCCCATCATGCATGCTGCTGTAACCTGACGCCCACGGGAATCGAGGGGTGGTGGCGATTCAGATTTATTACCCCGCGGAGTATTGAAACATCATCGTATGTCTCATTCTCAAAGTGCGCACGCACGCATAGGTCGAGTAGAGCCGATCGGCTGCGTGCGTCCAATATTGTCATCATGGCGAACAGGCGGAAGTATAATTAACATCTTACAAGAACCCAGGCACCCATCCTGTCGCTGTTGTGAATTCAATTACGGCGGCATTTTTTCGGAGCGACTGGTGCTTAGTGGGGATTAGCTGCAAGGGCAGTTACTTAGTCATGCTGACGTTATTTAGTCTGATCCCGATCAGGAGATCTCTGTACAATCAAATCGGTTCCTTCCGGACGTATACAAACACAATCATTAGCTGAATTGTGAAAGCAGAGGAGAAAAAAGTGATTCAGATATCCGACAAGACTTTGAGAAGGCTGTTCAGCCATGGGGGGCGCTCGAAGCGCGATCTCAGTGGTGTTCACTGAGTTTGAACGGTGAGACAGGATATGCAGTTATACCAGTGGAGTTTGCTATACGGTGAAGAGAGTTCCGTGAACCCAAAAAAAGTAGGGAAACAGTGGCTATCAACCTTCAGAAGTTCGTTCTCTGCGCTCAATCGTCGGTGATTCGCTGTTCGAGCCTCCCTGGAAGCAGAGGGGAAAACAAAAACGCTGCATGAGCTTTGGGCAGCGATGGAAACGTTTCGATCGACTCACATTTGCATTTGCGCCGGGGCCTGGTTCATTACCAGCCTGATCAGGATTGGATCCAGCACTAGAGGGCTGGAGGGTCTCAGGTGAGCTGCTTGCCAGGAGGTGGCAGCGGGAGGTTAACCTACAATCTCCGATGATCCAGGTTCTGAACGTTCCGGATTCGGTGTGGACATTATTTCTTAGCACGAAGGTTTTCAAGCACACCCGCGAAGGCTTGGGAGAGGTGGGGAGGGGAGGATGCGCCCCGTAACAAGAGGGTTCTTATCAGGGCGATGGGTCTCTGGATATGAATGTGATGTACTGCGCGGTGCCCTGGTTATTATTCGGTCGGGCTTCAAGACCGAGCGAGGATGAAAAGAACCCTATTTCCATCAAGTATTTGACCGGGAAATTATAGTCCTTGCGTTGGCCGCCTGAAGGAGAGCTGGATAAGACAAGTTGTGTATATCTCCTGGGTAATTTTTCCCTTTCCAGGGCTGTGATTGACCCCCCCGAGAGATATAAATAGTGGGATAGCTTGGAAGAACGAAGGAGCATCGGCGCAGTCCGCATCCTACTGAGCTGGCGTGCAGTGGTCGACGCGGGTGCCATACTGTGCCATACTGGTGGTGCCATTAGTCCAAGAACGATTGCACGAGGTGCCATTTCAAACCATGAGTGTATCAAGTACAACTCCATTGGAACTGAATATAGCTCGGGAAAAAGCCAGAAGATTCGTGACCTTATCAACCTCCGTTTTTTTAAATCGAGTGGGAGTTCTCTGAAAAGGCGGTTTCTCAGAACCCGACTCAAAAGGCATTTATAGCCACACATGACTCCAGGATTCTGAAGGCTGAAGACTCGTAAAGATAGGTCGATCAATGCCGCGTTTTGTTTTCGTTCAAAGCTATGGAGATGGCACGAATTGCGTGAGCATGTTCATTCGTGATTATCATGTAGTGCGGAACGCCACTCTCATGAAGAGCGACGTCGTCGGCGTATACGCGTTGCGCATAACCACCCTATAGTCTCTGCACCAATGGAGGGTGGTATTTCCTGGCCTCAGAAATTCGTTACTTCGTTTGAACGATGCCCCTTCCCAGCGAGACCAGGGGGTTACCCCAAGATGTGAACATAGACGATTCATTGTCCACGTTCCGGCCCAACTGAAAGTGCCGAATCCCGAAATTCGCAGTACCTTGGCGGCGAAGGTGATGCAGAATGGCCGCGGGTGAAGTTCGTATATCAAGATGGAAGTGGCAAACGTAGGCAAGTGCTGCTTCCCCTTGAGGTTGTGGGCTTGCATGCCCGAGACAGCCTCAAAGGGCACCAGAACTTGTCGTTGATGCCTTATGTGGGCAGGCTCCAGTAAGAATTACAAGGCCTCTGTGGCACTGTCAGACAAATGCGCGTCACCAGGTGTCGTCCCATCCCACCCCCCCAGAAAGTCTCTGTACTCCCCTGGTAATCGATATTCTTCCTTAAAAGCCGTGTCAATAGTGTATCCATTCGCCAGGATACATGGGCGCTCGTGAATTTTTCTTGCACGCTCTCCCATACAATTTCTCGATCGATCTCTACCAAATTATATAGATCTCACACGACCAAAGTTCTTCAAGAGGGACATGGCCCCTCCTGAGTTCCTGTTGCCTTTGTCTCACCATGGGCACTGTTTCGAAGGCCGCTGGAATCGAGGGAGGGTAGTAGAGAGGGGAATCAATACGGTGCGAATTAACGCGCGGCGGTGCGGTGTGGGCGGTTTAAGTCCGCGCGGCCGCGGTCCTTGAAATTCTTGTGAAACACCGAAACCTTAGAAGGCAGGGAAAGTGACCTCAGAGTCCCATTTATATGGCTTATTAGTCGGCCTGTGATGCCTTATCTTCAAATTATGATCAAATCTTCATTCCTGACCACAATTCATGACCGGGAGGGTACCATTTTCATCAGGACGCTCAACTACCCTGTCACATCTCCGGAAGTTATTCATATGTACCAGGAACGGAGTCCCGTTAGTGCCAGTAGACAAAAGTTGGGCTAGGGCGACGCATGGCCCTTTACAACATGTTTCCAAAAAGAATCGAGACCCCTACAACCTGAGCCGTTCGCAGGGCATTTTCCTCAACAAGCAAGACAACGCAGTTATCTTTCCGATATTGGGCGCGCCTGTTATACCACATCTATATTTGAGTCGCCATGGTGGTTCGAAGGATTGCGAACCCTCCAATCTATCCCATCGATCGAGCCAATACTTGTGTGCAGGTTCGGGGCAAAAGGCTACTACATCTAGCACTTTCGATCCACATCTCCTAGGCACCACGCCTGCCAGCCATCCTCCAACTCTCGAAAGAGGCCACATCAGCCCGGTGGCCGGCCACTTTGTAGCATTGTCTCGGCGAGGAGTCCCCCGGTATGCGTCAAATCTCAGCCGTAAACCATGAAAGTTGTGGAGAAAGGGCGCGCTGCTACTGCTTCCTCGCGACCGGAGATACTAGAACGAACCCAAGTGCTGACCCCGCCCAGGCGCAGCCTTACTTCGTACCGTGTAACACATTTCAATGGCGGACTTCAATCTTGCACCACGGTAGCAGGTCCCAAAGACCTCCCCTTGTATGTCGTGGCGAGTCTCAGCTGTCCCCCCGTTTATTTCTCCGTGCTATGGCTATGACATGGGGGCTTATGGATCATGGTGTGCGACTTCACGTCCTACGAACCAGGAAACGAAGGCAATCTGGGAGGATCTTGCGTGCATCTCGAACCATGACTACTTCAGCAAGAGTCACCTGTGCTCACTTTCCAACGTTATCACAATCATGTTTGAGACTTTGATCATGGAATTGAGACGTTGTGAGTTATACGTGTAAAGTCGTCGTGGCATAGTAAGATGTTACAGTTCACCAACGCCCATAGGTGGTGGCGTGTATGTGGGGGGACAGGATACCAGGCGGATCAATAGGAGCAGAGCATGCAAGCTCATTCGTCCACAAACACCGGCCTTGCTGAATGGGAACGGTCTTTCGGCGTCCTGGACTGCTATAACGGCCTTCAAGCTTGGTTGGGACTTGCTCCTTTGTCATTCCGAGGCACTCGGAGAGGCATTAATGATTATTTTATTCGAAAAAAAAAGCATACCAAACCACGGAATTAATTGCCCACCGAACCTCCCATGGGACATAATCCTGTAAATTCGTTGGATGAAATGTTGCGCGGTGGGTGACCCACCTCCGTCATCTGGGACCATTGTCGATTAGTTATCCAGGAAACCAACCAAAGCAACATCAGCCCAGGTCACCTAACGAACTACCTCGCTGCTCTGGAGAGATGTTTGACAGCCCGTTGAAATCAATTACCTTCCAAAAAAGGTCGTGTCGTTTATTCTGCGTAGAGTATCAGAATCCGTGATTGCAGGCTGAAACTACAGTGAAAGCTATTAACCCTACTATAGTCCGCTCATGAGACAGCATGCGAAGAACTTGTGTATAGGTCTCTGAGCAACGAGGCTTAACTACTTATTCCGGACAAATGACCAAGAGAGTTGCGAGCAAAGGGGCCCCAATAAGCCGCGCGATCCAACATCTAAGCACGCCTCCAACGTGTACAGGCTATAGACGCCTTGCTGCCATACCGACCAAGCTCGATGTTATGGGCTGCATCGCTGGAACGGAGGCGTAACGCCTGTCACGCATAACCGATGTCGTAAGCGTTTATTAATTTCTCACTATAATTGCCTCTGCTACTTATCGACCAATGAGGATTATCCATAGGCTGCTAATCATCAGGGAAAAGCGGCGCTTAAGCTTTGAGGGCAATGATTCGAATTGAGATTTCGCAATATGGACTGAGAAGTTCACCGGTGCCAATTCCATCTCCATCCTAACAAATGTGTCCCAATTCGAACTGAAATGTGGTGTTTTTATTGTTTGAAAATCAATTCCATTTGCTGATGAAGTATTGAGAGTGAGGTTCCGTCTGTGAGCGAAACTCCAGGTGTAGTCCTTCGGTTAGGGCTTCAGGGTCAAAGCTCAGGAGCGGTTTGTAGAGACCCAATCAAAAAACTTCCCAGGGACCTGATTGGACGATTGGGGTGATCCTTCATTCCTGCCAAATAAACGAACCGATGAAGATCGTCCATACATTCATTTGGATTACCTCAATCGCCCAATCAGGTCCCTGGGAGGTTTACTGCCGGCCCTCCGGAGGATAACGTAAGTGACCATAAGTGGGAGGTCCAGTGCGGCCGGTCGGTCAGTCAATTGATCTGCAGGGTTGGGGAGAAAAGCCGTTCTATGTGGTTGCACTACTTTCACCCTCTGGGAAGTTGTTAGTCCCCTCTGGAAACGAAGTGACGTGAGGCTGAATGTCCAGCAAGTGAGAGAAGCTGAGATGGCTGACCTCCGTGTCTCTCCGCAAAGCGACTTGTCGTGGGTGGGACATGGCGACGTGCACGGCAACTCTGGCAGGCAAATGAAGATGTCAGTATGGAGGGGGGGACCAAAGACCGGCCTTGGTTCATGCAGGGGAGTTGGATTATCACCAATGCAACTCCAGTCCTGAGCGCCTGCATTCGCCGCCTGCCCTCCCACGCCTAGGCAGAGATCAGCAGGTCTCTGGGGAAGCAGGCGTCCCAGAGCACGTACGATCTGTCTCTATGAGACAAGTGAGGCATTGGTTGTTCCTTTCAGACATGGAGGATCGGATTCGGCGGCGCTGTGTAAACGGGAAGGTTTTCAAATCGAATTCCCCAAAAGTGTTCAAAAGATAGACACGGATGCATGTCACTGTTGCCTGGGGACGGAATTCCAGCCCAGTCCCAAGTTCATGCCCGAATGCCCGTTATCGACCAGAATTAGCAGCAGAGTACTATAACCCTCTTTGTCATTGTCAGATGCCTCGGCAAGTACGTGGTGGAGTCAGGAGTAGCGGAGCTAAGTTTCCAAATGAGTATTCTCCGCTCCGTTGTTGTACACGCCCATATCCGATTTTGCCGGAATGAGTCCGAGGGGTGAGTTCGGCGCGCGGTGTCAAACGAGCCGGAGCTCAAACTGAATGGCGCCAGTCCCCCTGAATGAAAAATCCGGAATTCAGCGAGGTCGCCTAATCCGCGGAGGTTGCAGACTAGTCAAGCAGCGAAACATGCGGGAATGTAGAACTTCGGTTTCTTCCATCTAGAGCGTTTGTTCTCTCGTTGTTGGCATCTTAGAAACGACCGGCATGCGAAAACAGCCTGGTGCCGTAACACGTGGGCATCAAGACGTCACAGATCTAGGATATGGCGACGGCATTTATTCAGCCACATGGGCACTGATGCCACGCATGTCCTGATGAACAGTGCCTGAGGCTAGTCCTTAGGCATTCGTGTTCCAGACCCGGTATCCACTTCCAGTTTAGCGCTCGTTCGCTGTAAATTTTTCTTGTAGCCTCCAACAATATTTGTCACACGTCCAGCAACTGACTTATGACGATGGCAAGGAGACCTCAATACTTATCGGAACTATGAGATCGATGGCGGTTGTTACTAGTTACATTAGATGACATTGGCGCAATACTGCTCTCAAATCAGACAACATCGGATCTCGCTACAGAATGATCACCGGGAAAACGACGCCCATAAAGGCTGCGAGCGAACGAAAGTGTTCGCTTAATGGTTCAAGCGTGCTCTGCACTCAGCACACATTGCTGCGGGGGCGTGCTTGGGGGAGTACAGCGCTGACAGATCGGGTAAGGCTTCATTAGGTCGTCGCCACGCGCGGAACGATCAGTCGAATAATTATTGGCTAAGTCAGGGGGTGGATGTCAGGCCGTTTCCAGGAAGAGGAATCTAAGTGAGTACAAACAGTTGCCCTGAACAGTCGTTTCGCCAGCATCCACGCGGCCTTTGTTGGGTATCGCACAGCAAGTACGAGCCTGCTAGGGGGTTTTCATCATCAGGTTGATTGCCGAGCGAAGATCATTGACGCGTACGGGTGGATTGTTTCCACAAGTGGCGCACGAATTCTGAGTATCTGCCATAGGTACAAAATTCAGAGTGGTTGTGAGAGGTGTGGAAGGGTTGTTGGGGAGACGATGTACTCTCCCCAGGCATTTTTATATAGTGTGTGCTATTAGTCAAAGTTATTGGCAGGGGCCACTAGAGTGCCCATAGCCAGAAGGAGACTCGATGAGCTTATTATTCTCCATTAAGTTAAGATAATTTAGCGGCAATATTTAATTGAGTCTGCAGATCTTTTTCCAGATCGGTCAGTATGCTCGTACAGCTTAGGGGTCGAGAGTGCGTGCACACAAGACAAAAAAGCTTGGAATCTAGTAGTGAATCAGGGAACGTGGTCAAGGTCCGTGCCAGTGAAAGCCCATTTCCTCTTCTGGTGAGATTCTTTTTTCTGAGTGGTGCGGGTGAAAACGGTAGATTCCATTTCGTTTCCCTTGGAGGAGTGCTTGCTGGAATTACCCGACCAAGCGTGGGAGTGACACGCATCACGTTGTGACAAGTCACGGTTGGAAGCGCTCGCCAGTTGAATGACTGTGTGATAGAAGATGTAGTTCTGCAGAAGCTTCTCTCATAGCTTCTTAAACTCAAATGGATGCGCCGTTCACTGTGGCTCGCCATGAAGTTGTTGATACTCAAGACAATGCTACATTAGGTGTCTCAGTGATGGTTTAGTATTTGGAACCGATCCTATATCGCGGTCACTACATTCAGAATTCCCCGTATCATTTTGATTAGCGCCCATGGCTCATCTTCGGCGGAAGAGCTTCGACAGTAAACAGGTGTGCCACGATATCCCCACGTTTCCCGTCCTTGGGTCGGGAGGATAAATCAGTGTTCCTTGTAGGATAAGGCACCCTGGCGGAGTCGTAGCCCAATGAACTGCTCGCCACATGTGCCGGCTATCTTCTTAAGTGGCGAAAATACAACTTTGTAATAGCGAATACGCCGTCCTTCTTTGCAGGGCGATAATAGGACAGTAACGATCTTAATGGCCTTTGAGCGCTTCTCAATCAAATCACTGCACCCATGCGTATATTCTTAAAAAAGGGGTCTTGACCGTGCAGCCAGGAATGCTAATCAAGGCTTCTCAATACGATTGTACCCCCAACTCCAGCATAAGCAAGAAATCGCAGCTTCAGAGGTGTGTTTTGTTGTGATTTAATGTTTCCCCCAGATATTGGACACGCACCACAAGCTACTCGAAAGAGCGCCCGGGGAAGAGACTCTAGAGGGATGTGGCGAGGCGCAGCACAACCTCAGGGTGCCCGATTTGTGTCGACCCAAGGGGGATCAATGAATTGGCGCAGCTCCTCAGGGTCGGACTTGAACGCCGATCACAGCAGCGAGGTACCAAAGTGCTAACTTGAGATGATTGATGATTTCCTCTCCCCTTCTCAGAGGGAGCTACTGTGTGCATGCGTGCATGGGTTGAGTCGAGCCTTGCCAGCCGCATGTCAAGGGATCGTCGCTCGCTCAGTTGGTCACTTTTCCCGATTGAATCCATTGATTTTCTCTTCGTCATCGTGGCAACAGGTGGCACAGGCTAACAATCGTACTTATAACATCTTTCAGGAACTCATTGCAGGCGCGCATCCCATGTCCCACCACGAAAGGAAGTCACTGACTCAGTTCAAGATGGGATCAAAGACAACGACCTAACCATGAGCAAAGTGTGCCCTGTGGCAGACCACCTGGAATAACCCACCAGTTCAAGGATGATCTCTGTAATATCCTAGTCAGCATGACCCTTAGCGGAGTTAATAATTCAATTGCTCGGTTACCCATTTGGTATGAGTGGCGGTATTATTTCATATCGAGTTACAAGGAGATCATGTCGGCGCCTGGAACTCCGTAGTGCAATGTTTAGTTAAGCTAACGTTATTCAATATCGTAATCAGGACCTCTTGTACACAAACAAACGTGTAAACGCCACGAATTCGTTAGGTCATCGATAATCATCAGGAATATTGTGAAGAAAAGAACAAGATGTAATTCCGCTGCTGGAGTCTATAGGATCGGTGAAGTCTGTCGATCTCGTCGGAGCAATTTCAGCGATTCCCTCGAGTTGGGATGCAGGGTGGTTAGGGGGGATACCAGTGGTGCATTAGAATTCCGGCGCCGTTGGTCACCGCTGTACGATAGAAAGAAAGCCCGTTGAACTCAAGCAGAGAAGAGAAGCTTTGGTGACTACCAACCGCCAGAAGTGCTGTTTGGCTTTGCTGGACGTAGAGAGAAGCGCGCAAGAGTAATATATAAATCTTGGGCGGCAATGAAACGTTTTGCTCGACTTACGTTCGCGTCCGCGTTCGGTGCGTTGGAGCTCTGCCCACTGCCTCTTTGATTCGCCTGGCACTCGTCACAACGTATATTACGATTAGGTCCAGTGCACGAGACTAGAGGGTTTGAGTCTCTCAGGTGAATCATTTGCTAGGAGCCAGTGACAAAAATTGGCGTACAATCTCCAAATCCGACATTTTGACATTCTGTCTGGGGGCATGGCTCGTTAGACAGGGGTTGGGGACACCTGTGAGGTGGGGGAGAGGAAGACGTGTCCTGTAACAAGTCCATTCTTATCAAGCGAAAGCCATCCGAATCCGGCCAGATTGAATAGGATGCAAAGCACCAGCATCCATTGGACAGTGTTCTCTTGTTATGATTCAAGCGGGCACGGCCTGGGGAGGATAAGAAGATTCCTATTTCCATCGAACAACGCATTCATTTAACTGAGGATTCCCCGCATCGCTTGTCTGAATGAAACTGAATCAGTGCCATCCCGTGGGGATTTTCCTACCAGGACGGTGCTTTGATCCTCTGATGGTTACTGAGGTGATCTGGAAGTGTGGATCAATTCCTTGTTTGTTCAGATGGTACGGCCTGACAGGGTATACTTATCGCTTTCATAAGTGAGCTTCAAAGGTGATTGGATTTTCAGACGGACACTCCGGCGATACCGTTAATGCCCAAGTCTGCAGTTTGTGCCAGATAAGGCCAACTTAGTCGAAACGTTCGCCGTTGGTCCTAGCTCGGCAGCCAATTTGTAATCTTGCAGCTTCTAATTTTTAATTGTGAACGTGTGAATTCTCGGCAAGTCAAATAAGTTATGGTCGCTGCATTGTGTCCACACATGACTTCGGGATGCCGGAGACTAGTGATGAATGATGACTTGTAGAGATGGATCAACCGACACCACGCTTTCGCGTTGGGTTACGGGCTCAGCGAATTCGCATGATTGTGCTCATTCACGATTATAATAAAGTGTGGAAAGCCATTCTCATGAAGAGAGAGCGTCATAGGCGCGTATATGTGTAGTCTCTTCTCCATGGAAAGTATTTCCCAGCCTAGGAAATTCGTTACTTCCTGGGGCGAGACCGAGGCTATCCGTAGACGTTGGGATAGATAATCCCCTATTCACTCTCTAGCCTAGCAACTGAAGGTCCCCAAGCGCCAAGTGCCACGGTCGCAAAGGCAATGTGGGGCCGCGAGTGTTCGCGCATCAGAGGAGGAAGCTAGCCAATCTTGACGGCTTCCATTGAGGTTGTGAACCTGCATGCCCAAAACAATCTCTACAAGACACCAGAACTTGTCCTTGGTGCCTCGTGGGGATTGACTTCGGCAAGAACTGCACGGTCTCTGGAGCGGGGTTTGTTACTGAGGTCAACACGTATTACCAGGTGTTCACTTTCCACCACGTCTTCCTGGAAATTTCTGAATCCTTTGAGAATCCATACTCTTCCCTTTAAACCACGGCGATAGTGCATCTGTTCACCGGATAAATAGGCGCTCACAATTTTTACTCGCTTCTACCGACCCATTCACCCATCACATCAGGTCTTGCACGACCACTGTCCTTCATGAGAGGCTCGTCTAGAGCGGCTGTTGACGTTCCTTGACCTGAATACTCTTGCGAAAACCGTTGGCGTCCAGTGGAGTGGTAGTTGAGAAGAGAGGACTAATAAATTGGGCGATTGTTTTGCGGATATAAGTTAGGTCCGTGGCTGATAAAACATGGAAAGCAGGAAAGATGGTCTTAAACTCTCAGCCATACTATAACTGGGGAACGTCGCCTGAAGCGGCAGATCCCGCTACTCTTACCCCGCATGCATAGAAGTGAAGTAGCATTAGATGTATCGGCGACTCACTTGTATCGGGAGTGAACATGAGCTTTTTCAGGAGATATGATTTGTCAGTGAGCTTGGGAGGAAGCAGGGAACCCTAGGTTGGGAGGGAGTGAGGATAATGGTCCCTGGGTTTGGGGGTCATACAGGACCCTGTGCATAGGACAATTGAGTTGGGGAGAAAAAAACGTAGGACCCGCTACGGAGTAGCGGCAGGCTCGTACCCAGCCGTTCTGTTTATGCTTGTTTATCTTGTCAGAACGGCTGGTGGAAAACATTTTCCCACGACAGCTGTATACTGTTGTTTGTGCATATTGAATCGAACAAACAATACTCAACAAGAATATTATTGTGCAACTGATCTCACTGTCCAATATGATGAACGTCCACCAGTCCCCGCTTCCTTTACCCTTTCAAGTGCCAAAGAGAGTGCGTGTAGAGGCTGTGCTTAACTCCTTCAAAGCAAATGGTCTGAATTTCTCAATGCTTGCCTTAGTGATGATCTGTGTCACAACCCCACAAATCTCCATAAAATCGAGGGGTCTCTCCCTATGCTTGTTGGTCTCATTATTGAAAGGGAAAGCCTCCAAAAGTGTCTCTAAATGCTCTACTCGCTGGATCCTACCCTGTTCCTCACTTCAGTGCTCCTTTACACTTGCCAACAACTCATGAATGAGCTCGATTGAGACATAGCCTCTGGCTTCCATTTCTCAGCTTCATCAATGACACACAAGGAAGTTAAATTTCTGTCTGTTCAGCAGACAGCAAAGAAATTCTCCCATAAAGCTCCTACTTTGTGGCATTTTATTGGCTGTCTCCTTTTGGCAACATTTACCCCTGGGGAAATTGTTGAACTGGATAAATGGGAGGACATTGACGATTTGGAAAACGAAAATAATGATGACAATGATTGCTGGTTAGTGTCAGGGTACTGAGCTGCTCGGACTCTAAGTCGAGGGATCCCGAGCCTTCGCTGGAGCTGAGGCCGAGGGGGACAGGATCAGTCTCAATGGGGGAACCTGGCAAAGCGGATTGCGATAGGGATTCCAGCTGAGCAGTGAGGGGAAGTGAGATCATATCATTGTATATACTATGTACAACATACCTGAGCAGCGAGGGGAAGTGAGAGAAGAAAGTTATCTTCCTCACTCGCTACCCAGGGAATGATAAAGTCAGTATACCCGGCGAAGCGGGGCCGCTCTGCAGAAGGAAATATAACAAATGTCTGTGCCAGTCCGGGGATGATGATCAGGCTGTGCGGGTATGGGGCAGGTGTGTCATCAGTTGTGTGTAAGCAGTCCGGACTTAACCGGGCTGTACTCTGACAGTTAGATTCTAGTGGCCTCCCACCTTTGTCTCAAAGGAGCCGATCCCATAGTGAGAAGCGGCAGGTTGCCTTCCTACTTAGGGCTGCTGTGGTTCAGTTCCGAGAGGAACCGAATTGGTCATGGAGATGACCAAGGCTCGGTTCAATACCGAGCCTGAATCCAATCATCCTTCAATCCCTCAAACTGTACCAAAGTATGAGCCAACCTGTTATCATGTTTGCGATTTAGGACCTTCGGTTCTGCTCTTGGAACCAAACCACAGCAGCCCTACTTGGAGTCCTACTCATGGTAAGGATTCCAGTCTTATCTTACACCAAGTGCACTGAGTCCAGTTGCTTGCTGAGAGCCAAGGACAGTAAGTGGTGTTATGACTACTAGAATCCTTCTGCCATTATACAGCAATGGCACCCAGTATATCAAAGTTTTGCCAGAGCTGTCAAGAGCAAATCCCTCCAATGGATCTGGGCAACGACTGCTCTCAATTGGAAACCACAAAGAGTCTTCCCAAAGACATCAGCGACATTTCTCCTTATTGTATCTTCCATTGGCTCAGCATATGGGTGCAGACAGGATAGGGATGGAGTCGGTGGCCATGCCGTTCGCGAGTTTACATTGAAGTAGGTGTAAATAGTGATATACATTGAACTGACGTCGGTATAGTCACATGTAGCGCTTACATCATCCTGGATGCAATGTTTTCCACCAGTCGTTCCCCTGGAACGACTGGGTCCGAGTCTGGAATTTTGGTACAGTAATTCACATGTGAATGGTTTTCACCCATCAATGGTTTTTTCATCCACAACATCCTTATTCTGCAATGATATCCCCCCATTCTTTCCATGTTTGTCTGTCACGACCCGGCGTTCCCTGGGGCCAGACGACCTCCTCCCTGACCCTCTCCCATGCCCGAACACTCCCCGCACACTCCGCTCGCCGCCCGTCGCCGTCTATCCACTTCCCACCACCTCTCCACAACCCCTCCCTTGATTGTCGTTGAACGACCTAGCGGCGCAGAGCGCCACGACCTGTTGTTCCATGTTTCGCTGCACCTTGTTACCTTGCGGCGAAGGTCACGCTTGACCTTCGCTGTCTTGAACACATGCTCTTTGTTTGTTTTCCTCTTTCTTTTCTCCGCCCGCAATCTCCGCGAGATCTGGCGACTTATTCCCTATTCAGTTCCCTAGCGCTTATATACAGCTTGTAACTAATGCTTGTACTGTAGTTCGAAATCAACTAGAATTACCCCCTAAAGCTTACCTCTGTCCCCGTGAGACCTCCGACTTTCTAAGTATCGGGACCGCGTCGAGAACGAGGCGCAACGCTCCTCCTAGAGTCGTTGAAGCCGAAATCCCGGCTCACTCGCCTAAGTAGCCTCGGCCTCGAGATTGGTGGGGTTTATCCCTTGCTAAAGCTCGGTCGGGTGTAGGACGCCTTTACTACTAGCAGGCAACGCTCGGTCGCCTACGGCTACCCTCGGCGAACCTTCGCATGGTTCTGACATTGTCCATCATAACTACTACTATGACTATGCAAAAAATTAGCCAGATCAGACATGAAATAAATGAGTTATGGTGACTATTAACCTAACTTCTCATATCCTCGAAAGTTATGTGTCCCGTGCTTCCAGGAGTGGGGCTACAGTGGTATGGGTGCACTGTCAGGGCCCGGCCTCGGACTCGGAGGCTCCCTGACCTCAACCCCCATCTGGCCTGTCCTCACACTATGCGGGGCATGAGATGTATAGTAAAAGGAAAGATAATATATACACTTGCCTATGCAGGGCATGAGATGAGAAGAAGGGTAAAGGTCTCATCTCCCCGCATGGTTGCTATATAAAGGAATGGGTCACATGCCCACAACTATACAGCTCCTAGAGTTGTGTAGTGTGACCCGGAGGGAACATCCAGGTGGCAGTGCCCAGTAAGCATGGGAACGTTCTGGGCGAGTTGCTCGCCCAGAACTGTGGCTGTGACCTGTGGGAACATTCTGGGTGAGCTGCTCGCTCAGAAAGTTCCCATGCTATCCCGTGCACGCGGATACACAACACAGAAAGGCAACAACAAGGCAACAATGAAGGAGTGGAAGGAAGGGATTGGTTGGGGAGTCTGGGGCACCCTAGGGCAGGGTGCTGAACCCTGACATGCACTCCAGAGCTTGGGATGTCACCCAAGACTAAAAAGCCAGTGTCACATGCACTCATGTTTGTTTGTTTTGATGAAATGCGCTGAAGGAGCGGAGCTGGATCACCTTATGTAACCAGTTTCCTACGTCCAATAATGATATTAGAGTTTTGTGCTGATTTGCATACTGACTGTGTTTTGGTTGCCAAATATATAATTGTTCACTGTCTAAACAACAATAAACACCCCCCAACGATCTCACCTGACGTATAGATCGTCTATGGATAAAATTCTATATTGACTTTACTATGATTTCTAGTCAATATTACACCTAGATATACCACTTTTCAGTAGGACATGATTTTCCTGATAATTTACTGAAGGAAAACTACTAATAAAATAATTCCGCAATAAATGTTACTCAAAACAGGAGTGACCAAACTGCTCTTTCTATCACTTAGAGTGTGTGCTAGTTATCTAGCAGGTTCAGGATCGCTCACTTTTCTCCTGTGGTGTGATAACCAAGTATTGCTGAGAGATTATTCAATTAAGAAGTCCCTCCACCAAATTCTCACTAATTCTCACTATGACACTTTTGTTCAGCTGTGTCTAACTGACCCTAACTCACGCTTAGAGTGACGTGTTAGTTCTATATTAGCTAACAACTAATATTTGCTTTTATCTTTTGGAGCAAATGAACCAACCACTGGTGAGGAGAATTAAACTTTTATTTCTACCTGAGGTTTGAGAGGGGGCAGAAGCGGCGGCCTTTTATGCTTTTCAGAGGCCTCTCTACTCCCACGCCTCGCACTAGTTACATGTGCTACATTTGTATTATAGATAGTTCTAGAATGATATAGGGGCTTGGGCTGTGTAAGCTTAATAATGGACTTAGGACATGACTCAGCAATAACTAATTCATTTCTTTGTCTTTTGGGCCGATATTAGCGGGGTCTTGTAGCGCTGAAGCTATGCTCTACACCGCCTTAATTACGAACGGTTATCTTTAGAAATGACTCGGCTATAAAGGAACTTTCTAGACTGTTCTCTAATTGACCCCTTTTTGTGAAGCCGCATCATTACTAATGTTCTAGAGCCTTCCCAATTAATTAACTGATCCGCGGACTTTTGAATCACTTCATGCTTATGATCCGAGATCCAGATCATCAATCATTCCTTTGTTCCGATTTATTTGAGCTTAAAATCAAAAAGTTTTGATGAATCATGGGAAAATATACAAGATCCGGTTTTTTAGCATTTTCTCCTCTTCTGATGCGATCAAAAACTGTCCGCCCGCGCCGGGGAATACTCTATCATATGGTATTCGGTCCGCCAGACTTCCGGGCGCCAATATATTTCCCTTGAGTCACATTACTTTTTGTAAGAATTAGCAAATAAATATACATGAATTATAAGGTGTTTCGCCGTTTGAGCAATATCTCCGTCAGTTTTGAAGCTTTTAGAATGAAACAAAACCGTGGATAAAGTTAAGAAACAGTCCTTTCAGATGGTAAAAAGATTACAGTCAAAAGTTTACTGGTTCCCGAGATATTCACATTTCTTTCCCAATGTTCCTTCTTATTCTGCCGTCTATGTGCTATTTTCTTGTTGTAGGGATATATTCTTTGAATATTACACCTATGCCAGGTTCTAGGCATGATTGTAGTAGATTAAATCTCATGCTACATGGGTGTAGATAATTTATAATGATCTTCTAATGTCTGTCCAGTCTCATAAAGATCATGAGATCTGTTAAACGTCTGAACTTGTCACCTGTTCGTTGACTATTCTGATAGATCATTGTTTTATTCTTTGAATATTATTTCTCCTACAGCGCACTCATTTTGGGCAGGTTTACATCTGTGCTTCATTTCATTAAGTCATCCCTTTTTGTGCCTGCTGCTTGCCAATTTCTACCTGACTTCCTCTATGGCTAGGCATGCAGATTCCCTGAGGTTGCGAAAGCAAAAGGTGGCTCAAGCAGCAGAGCTGCATATGCTGCAAGCTCTCACATCATACCATTCTGGACTAGCGCACGCCAAGCAGGAAGGCCAGAAGCCAGTCTGTGCAAAAGAATATGCATTGGATTATGGGGTAGCCTATACTACATTTCTAAGGAGGCTCAATGGTTGTCAGGGACAGCTCCAAAAGCGGCGAGATCCCAGCATGTGTGTCAGGGGATGACTCCCGGGTCCCCATGACCCTCCCCTATGGCCCACAGCCTCAGGTCTGGCCAGCCCTATCCAGGGCACAATCCTACTGTGGGTAAGAAGATGTAATAGATAGAAAGGCAAGTAAGATACAACTTGCCTACTGTGGGTAAGAAGATGAGAAGGAAGCTAACTTCTCATCTTCCCACAGTGGCCACCATATCAGGAAAACTTCTGGGAATATCTGGAAGTCACATGAAGGCAGGATCCGGGGCCGGATCATGTGGCACATGGAGCATGCGGTGTGGGAATGCGCTGAAGGAGAGAACAAAGGAAGGTCAGTTGGGAGGTTCAAACGAGACCACCACCAAGCTGTTCCCTGGTTCTTTAGTTAGGATGGGGAAGTGTACTAGTGTTATTTATTGTAAATAAAGTACCAATCCGAGTGTTTTGGCTAATTCTATTTTTATGGGTTAGTTTTAAAGTTCCTGGGAATTGACTTACAGATAAACCGAGCCCTGCGGAGCTGTTTCTTTATTGAAATTTATTAATTTGTCTAGGTGTAATTCTGTGTAGCGTTGTTTAATTTGGATTTAAACTTGAATTTAATCTTCTACTTAGTGAAGTTTCAAAGATTTTATTCAGTTAATGAATTTGGATTGTGTCTGGAGTGTCCCTTGAATTTGTTCTATTTTTGTCTTATTTTATTGCTTGTTTTAACAGTAGCAAAATAACTGTTTTGTGTTTACACTTTGAAATCTGGAGTGTTAACCAGCTCTCCTGTTGAAATATCTACTTAATATTTCTCTCCTTTATTGCTGCCTTTTACTACAGTGGCAATCTTAACTGTATATCACTTTTTTGCACTGGAGTGACAACCAGAAATGCTTGAGAAAAATAATACTCTATTTTCTTACTTCTCTAAGGGGGGCAAAAAGTCGCAGAAAGGGTCTCCCTTTTATACTCCTTGGGTCGCCTTCCTTTTTCACGCTATACCTTCTATTTACAGGATTTATTTACAGTGTATTTTTCTCAAACTGAATAAAAATGAAATTTTCATGCTATAGTTCTACTGCGCTTTTGCTGCGCTGAACTGCGGT